GTCACAGATTCGATTATTAAGCAAATAGGATATTAAAAGGCATGTTCATTAAGCAACTGGTAACAGGAGGTTGCTGATAATTCTTGAAATCCCATAACAGTCACACAAATGATTTTTAACACAATGCCAAATGGTTTTATACAGTCATGTTGTTATAAGGTTTGATCAAGTGGGATTAATCATGGATGGATCTTAAAGAACTGTAAAGAGCTTTTAACCAATCTTCAAAACTCACTTATCTAAACATTCTTCTTTAAGGACGCTCTATAAACTGTCACACCCCATTCCAAGCATCTTATAAAATAACTTGTCAAAAGAAGATAGTAAATATCGGTACAAATTCATGCTTCCGACCAATATTATACATCAAAGAAAAATTTGTGAGGGACAAAATCGTAAATGATTGAATTACTGGTTGACATCGACTTTGTACAAATAAAGTTCACAAGTGTGTCTTATATTATATTATCTTTAACGAGTGCGCAAATATAAGACAAACTTGTGAAATATATTTGTTATTACATTTTCACAAGCAAAAATCGCCAAGTTACTAGCATATTTAGAAGAGATTTAAAAAGATAAAGCCGTCTAAGCTATTCGCGGACACAAATCACTCATTATCACATCGCACTACGCGACAAAATATAGTCCTATTTTTAAACATAAAAACATGGAAACACAAAAATGAACGTAAATTTATTTGCATGTTCCCATATAAAATGTTACTTAGTCGTGTTACTAAAACCCCATTCATATGACACGATTTGCATACCACAGTATATTTACACCTATGCAAATTTACTTACATGTGCAATTTTTGTCGTATGAACTGATTTGCTCATATGCAGGTCAGGACTAGGTGCAAATTAACTTTTGCCTACATGTTGTCGCAAATTATTTGCTCTCGTGTGTAAATTTTGTCGTATGAATACACAGCAAATTTACTTATGTAAGTATTTTGTCATGTTTATTGCATCAGTCTCTATTTTAAGCGTTGTTATGGTTGTGTGTGCTTTGGCGGGAAAAACTATAAGTCTGTAAACATGACGCCTTTCAAACGACCAAACGAATTTTCAATGGTCATTCGTGCTCTACTTAAACGATAGATGAAAGTAGACTGAGTTTCTGTAAGGGTAGATCTGATGGTGTATGGCTTCAAAATCCAAGTCTTCAAATGATACGCTGGGTCGCCAAGAAGAACTACTGGTATAGTGCTTTCCCCAAATGGCTTTCTCCACTCTGGAAACAAGGAGCCATTATCTCCTTTGAGATAAATTTCCGAATTTGCATCGTGGACCCTTCCTGGCCAACCTATATTTATGTCTCTAAAGATATAGCTGTAGTCGCGAACACCCTGCAAAATCAAGGAGTAAAAACCCTTTCCATTTCAAGTAGTCTCCATGGGAATGCTTAGGAGCTATGATAGGAATATGCGTGCAGGGGCCAAAGCATTTTCCAATTTTTCACAAAATTTTAAGAATGTTTCCTTTTTCATTCGAAAATTCTCATACCAATCTTCGTCCTTAAAGTCCTTAAGTACGGTTCTGTCGTACCATTCAGTGGATAGGACTTACCTTCTAGTTTCCTAGATTCGGGAACATCCAATAGCTAGTCATATACCCAAATAGCAAGGGAATACAATTTTTCTGTGAAAATTCACCAGTCTGAATCGGTCCATCTCCTTATTTCAAATGACAATTTGGGGATTTACTGACGGTACATAAATCTCTTATGAACGCATAGCAAATTAACTTTTACTTATGTGTGTATATTTACTCATGTGTAAATTTGCATATATAAGCAAATTTTTGTCGTATGAATTGGGTTTTAGAGACAAGATTTGCTGTAAAACGTTCAAAGGGAATTTCACTACCCGGCTGAAAATATGACAGCAACGTACAGTCGTCGAGGTTGATGACACGAATCCCCTTGAATTGTTTAACGTGTTAGGTCCACATTCAAGACGCACGATTGGGGATTGGATTTGGTCTCTGATAAGATAATTTGCGTTTCATTGTTACTGACTTTCATGGAAATGAACGTTTACCATTGAATTGAAGGTCATGTCACAAGTAAACAACCTCTTCAGATTTCTGGTTTGGTATTTTTGTATCGACCTTTATGATTTGTCAATTTTATCAGGTGATTTGTGTTCTCTCTTTTCATTGGCTTAAGTCCGCAAGTGTTATTTTTCACTAGTGAAAAATAGCAAAAGAGTGTAATTTTTCACTAGTTTATAGATTGTCATCGTTTACGAACGTGAAATAAATTTTGTTAACAAATTGGGATTCCAATTTTGTTTCCCATAAATTAAGCATGACAGATGACCACCTGAATTCGACTGATGACCACAAATATATAACCTGTCGAAGTTTCAATATTGCAATAGTTTGATATTGGCTAAAGCAATTTTGTATACGTGTAGGTTGCTTTAAAATCATTTTGTGAGTTCACGGATAAAAGTAGCCACGAAATCAACGGAATACCCCCTAACCACCCCGCGAAAATTAAAATTGCATATTACCTAGTAATTCAGCATTACAATAGCATTCATACTGTAATAATAAAATCATATCGTGAATTCATGGATAAAATACGTACGATATCAACGGAAATATCCCACAGCACCCACGAAAAAGAAATTTTGAATCCTTAGTTACTAAGTACCCATTAATGCATGTCTTTCATTATATCTACAATAGCAACTGCATTTTTACGGAACGATTTCAATTTATTATCAAATAAAATATCAATATTTGAAAGGCTACAGTATGGCGCCATTGGAACAGTGTGTATTAACTTGCTAATTCCGTATCTTATACTGTACAGAACACTTTGATGGTAACAATACGCACAAAGGGAGGTAATCGTGATACGTTCTACAGTCATTTGTCGGGAATTAGGCTCTGGGTAGTGAGAGGGAATATACATAAAACAACCATGCTTTTCAACTATCTTCCTTTATTCTCCTCCTAACACATGAGAGTTACAGTAAACAAGGGAGGCAATCATGTAATACAGTTATCCAAGTTACCTTCCCTTTGACCATCTCTGGATGGTTTACATACAACTACCAATATGTGTATACATAACACATTTCATCGCATATTGTTTTTCTGAACTCCACTTTTTCGGCTTCTGGGACCGTTAACCATTGATGAATCCTTGAGCTTTGAAGATATGCATTGATAATTCACAGTAAAATTTATAAAAATGTAATATAAATGAAGAATAAACGGCTTTTTAAATATAAAATATACAAAATATTAAAATACTTTCAATGTATAAAGAGTAACGGACAGTGAACAAGACCAGAAGAAAAATAAGACAGACTGGCGGACATTTGAATGCATGTAATTCATATTGTGCTGGACAATATCTTTTTACATGAGGTTATAGGTAGAAGATGCATGACCAATAAACAAAACAAAGTCCATTAGGCGTAAAATGTTGAACGTAATCATATACCTGATTTTAAATATTCGATTAGATAACAAAGTTCCTTTCTATTACACTCTGTTAGTAATTGTAACAGTTTACAAGACGACGGACGGTATTTTTGATTTAAACATATTTATTGCCCCAAAATGGCTTTTTTTTGTAAAATGTTAAAATAACTTTTCTCAATTGTTTAATTAACCAAACATCCCCCTAAATAAATTGACAGCGGTTTATGTGATTGCATTCAATTATATCTGCATATCACTTGAATATGCAATTATAAGATATAAATGAAGGTGTACATCTTTAATTTTTTTTCAAAAAGTCCGTATGTACTTTTTCTACCTGATCAGCCGGGTTAAAACATGAAACATTAGTATAAAAAAATCATCTTATATTCTACAGTCATAGCTAGATCATAAACATACATTTCAGTCCTTGATTAACAGCAGTTATCTGACTTTTGAAACTATAAAACCGATACAAGCCTTCTCTGATATAAATCTATGAAAGAAAGTTGTGATTTTATTATAATTACTAAAGATCAACAAGACAATTCTGATGAGTTTCTTATACTTTCGGGTAGAAATCAATTATTTCTAATTAAGTTTTGATACTAATGTTATAACCATCAGCTGACAATACTAGTGATAAATACATGGATCTTGAATTAGATTTTTATTTCATTTGAAATTTCATAAAACGAGTCTGAGAAATTAGCTTAGTTTTGCGAACTAACAAAATTACCAACAAAATTAAAATCTCAAGACCAGTTTCATATGTCATATGAAATGAAATAAAAAGACATACTTTCTTTTTACCACATAACTAAATAAAAGTTACCTTTTGACAGGTTTTTAACATTCAAATGTGGGGAACACGTTAAAAAAAGAAGCAGCAAATATGTTGTGACATTTCAAATTCTTGACGTAAAGTTATTGTCTGCATTACATCACAATCGATTTATAACCAGCGCAACAAATGAAAAACGCTATTGCCATATACAAGCCACATATGACATAGGCGTATTATGTGATCGATAGTGTAATGGCAATCAGATATTAAGTGAAAAGCAAATATTTAGATTCAATAAACATTTTAAATAGTATAACTGATGTAGGACAAACCATTTAACGATTGCTTATTTAAGTTTTAATTTTTAATTTACCTGATATTGAAAAATTATATTTTATTTTTTTTCTCATTATATCTTATAAAGGTATCAGTTTTCGCAATTTATTTCATGCTCAAGAAACCAGTACAAAGGTATTCCTCGAAATTTGAAATTTTATATCAATGGGTAAATAAGGTAAGATAGATTTACTGAATGCCTGATAAATTTTAAAAGGCGACGGGACCTGCATCACATCCAGTTAAATTTTGTGCAAATAGTTTGCTATTTCGCGCAAGCAAGAAAAGTCTGTCCGATAGCCCCGATTTTGTAGAAATGTAACATTACATTTAGTATATTTGGATCGCAGAAATTACTTAAAACACCAAAACGTTGAAGCTGCATTTTGTCAACATTTTTTTTTTGTAATTTATCGCTGTCCGTAAAAGCAAATAAAAATAAAAATATTGATTTCGTAGCTAAATAGAAGACTTTTAACTTAAATGAAACTTATAATGATATACTTATGAATTATGAATTTTATCAAAACATCTAAGGACAATGGATTGCATGTATAAAGGAATGAATGACTTAATATAAAGAAAAAAATAATGGACTAATACACGAGATGCTGTGCATGAAGTGTGAGAGCCGTCTTCGGTGAGGACGGGATTGTAAGAAGGCTGAACACAGGACACAAACCTGGTAAACACTTTGCTGCTGCTTGAACATTAAATCAATAAACATCCTATTATGAAATGTAAATAAAAATGAAATATAAATGGTGTAGAATTTCAAAAAAATAAATGAGGATATATTCATAGAAATATTTAACTTGCAACTTTCATGAAACTTTCAACGTAAGTCTCCAAAAAGATGTTTTATGTTTATAAAAACATCGCACGCTGGTTCATTCAATGTTTGTTCTTGTTAAAAGAACAATGACAGACCCCGTGTAGTTACAACACCGTGCAGTTACAATATGCTTCCGGCAATGACTTCTATCTAATGATCTTACACAACAACTACTTATCATCCCAAAAGATGTCTTGTTCCAAAGAAAAAAGGAAAGAAGTGTGTGAAAGTGAGCTACTGGTCATGAAGGAGTTGATATGTAAGCATCCAATGAAATTCGTCTGTCCAGGTCAGGTGACTTACAAGCTCACACTCCTTAAATTCTACTCACCCGTACCTGTTCAGATCATTTACATACAAAGGCACAGCGTCCTGACACAAACATTTACTTCACATCTAATATTTGCATTTAATTGTATTAATTGATTAACAAAGACAAACAAACGAAACACAACAACATCTATAAAAAAACACACTTAAATACAGTCCTGTTACATACTGACTAAATATTGTTGCCTTTTATCTAGCTCCTAGGAGAAGAGGTTCGCATATTTGTTTCGCTGATGAAAGATTCACATCACAAAGATAATAAACCTATTCTTAGCATCTCTGATCCATGATAACACAGACAGTCATTTTTCGTGGTTATATAGTCTATACTTCTCCAAGTTTCCAAGAAAGATTTATGATAATACACTTCATGTTAAACACGTTTGGCATCATATCAGGACTAGTCATCGACAGGTTATCGTGAAGTAACTGTGGACACTGTCTGCTTAGGATGTTTTCTTCAGTACATCTAAAAAAACCAGAGAATATTTGTGTTGGTGAATGTATATACGATATGGGGGTATTAAAGTCATATTAGACCTTATCTGATGTGTTTTGAGTACTGAAAGCTTTGCATTATTGTGTTTTTAAGATTCTAAGCAAATAAGAAGTAAATATGGACCGATACGAGTAACTAATGCCACTTTGCAAAACTTGAACCATTTTATATTTGTTTGTTTTTAGTTTATTTTTTTTAGGGAGGGGGGAGGGGGATGCATGAGGTTAATTACTTCTATTCTGGTTTGAATTTTCCCTTCCTGTATTGAGAGAGGATATGCTAATCTCACAACATCGAAGGAATATTATTAGTACTACCTTCTTACAGCACCGCTTACCAGCTATGCTTATAAAACGTTTTCAAGTTTTGATAAGAACATTTTGGATGAAGTTTTCATGGCTTGTTGAAATTTGTTTTAGTTTCATAAACAATTGACCTTCAACTTTAAATTACGTTATATATTGTTTAGTTTCATAGACAAATGACCCTCGTCTTTTAATAATATCTATCTACGTATATGGAGAACAGCCCCATCCAAATTCAGGTAATATACTGAGCTATTACAGTTATCAAAACATACCACACCAATGTTTACGTTCCCTAGATAAAGGTTCAAAGATAAATTGTTACTACTGTATCAAAATAGACTGATTACGTTTTACTAGATATTTCCTATCTAACTCACCAACTACTGCGTTCCAGTCGAGTTGGCATTCCTTGAACGCCATCACTATCCTTACAACGTTTGAATCTCCAGATTCCCGTTCCATCCATTCTAACAGTAGTTTCTCCTTCATCTTTAACACGTCTCCTCTGTGATCCACCTCTGCTTCCTCGATACGTTCATTCGTTATATCAAGTTCAATGAAGAAAACGACATACATCTTCCCTATACGTCGAGCCAGATCCCGGACTTCTGCTTCCACAAGGCAACGATCTGGCACACGGGTACGCTTAGTTAGCTCAGCTATAATAAACAAAAGAATTACGTACATAATACACTATATAACCAATTAATGTTCTCATATATAAAAAAAAATGATTTAGATTTCTTTTTTGCAGTCTCGAAATAGTGTTTCCTATTTCCGACATTTTATTTTATTTCTAGTGAAACATTTCTTTTCGATATTTTGTCCTACATATAGACTCGTCGACATAAACTCTTATTACGAAATCATTCACGTATAGATACACTTGTTTTGGCCAAATTAATGAAAAATGTCAATTGAACAATATACTACATACCAACGTTCTTTAATTCTTCATAGAATGATGGCGGTGAATTAACTTCGGATAGCATGTCACGCGGCGGTATAGATGTGGCATTCATGGCATCTACAATAAGTTCTAATGGTTGTTTTCCAGAATCAAGAACGCTGTGCCAGCGAATCAGCATTCGTATAACTTGTGACCGAAAATCTAACGCGGAGTTGTCACGACGAATCTGATTGAAGGTTGTATCATCCATTTCGAGTTGAATAAAGAACATCTGATATGAATTTGCGTGGATATGCTTTGCGATTCGACTCATCTCCTTCAATGTTAGCCTGTTTTGAGACGCAGTGCTAGAACATTTTTCTGAAAAGTGAAAATTACAATAATTTCAAATTATACATTATCTTTAATACTTTAATCCTTCCAGCACAGTTTTCCTAGATGTTACGCTTCGTCCAGAAAACTTGATAATAAAATGTTAAAACGTTTTGGTAAAAAGGCCTTCAGCTGACAGATATTAATTAAATGTAATCCGAATTCCACAGCAAAATGTTCTATAAAGTTACAATGATACTCACCAGCCGGTTCTCTTTGTGTAACCTATAAAGAAAGACGACAGTCATTTTACGAATGCACGTAATGAAAATAACGACAAACTTCTTGCTGTATTTTCAATGTTCTACTTACATTCTTAATAAATGAATTACATCGGCGCTTCTAATGAATGTCCTACGCAAAAAACCAACCGAATGTGAAAACATCTATTGTGTTTTTGTTCAACTTTAAAGTACATCTGTTGGATAAAACTTTTTACCTTTTTCATTTTTATAATGATGCTGCTGTATAAACAAGTAGTTTGATTAAATTTACCATTAATGGCCATAATGAAATCAGTGATTTTTTTTATAAAGCAATGGCAAATGCTCACCGTCAAAATGATGGATTCTTTTGAATTATAACACTGTCGTATAGGTCAAATTATAATTGGCATAACACAATAACATCAATAAGGAATGTAAATATCGACATTGAAACATCATGTCATGATATTTAATGCTAACTATACGTAGGTAGTTACAAGTTTTATATCGCGTCAACTTCAATGAGATGTTTGAAAAACTTCTTCATTACTGATATTACTCGGCAGTTCAACACTTCAATCACTGAGGACAAATGACATATTTCAAACATAGTATTGTTTCATACCTCAAGATCACCAAACCAGAATTTCTTCACAGCTGTTGTTGTATTGAAGGTGTCACCTTCTGGGGAATAAACCTCGAAATCATTTCCAATGTGTTCTGTATAATTCAAATGTCCTTGATCATTTCGTTGAAGAGTATCCACGAGCAGTTTTTCCAAAACAGTCCTGATCTGAACACCATGTGTTGTGTTAAACGCTTTCTGGGATAACAAAGTGACTTTGATCATGTTAGTCTTGCAATGGATTACCATGTTCACATCGGCTGTCAAAATGAAACATGCAAGCCCACGCCACAAAAGCTGGTTTGTTTCATGAGAGACAACCTGAAACCGGTAAAGCAAAGACGCCAAAAATTTGTCAAAGACAGCATCTGGTATAAAATTGTTGTCAAATTTGATTCCGAGTGTTGACGATGTTACTATATTTCCTTGTTGCAAGTACGACCTTACAACATTAGTGCCATCCTGGTCTAGAAGCATTGACGGGACGATGTAGGTATCAATTTCAGCATCCATTTCGTCTTCCTTTGGAAGAGGTTTTACAATCAATTCTGATCTTTCAATGTAGTAAAGTAAAGTGTCGCTGTTTTCTGAAAAGCTTTCGTTTTCCTCTTTACCCCATACTTTGTCGATGAAGGCTCTCCTTAACCGACGCGTCTGCTGATACTCCTTCAGAAGTGGGTCTTTACTCCCTACATTTCTGATGTGATATTTGAGGTCGGTGACGATTAGGCGGAAAGCCTTTATCATCCACTCTGGATCCAAAATGAACTTCAAGTCGGTAGACATATCTTGGTGTCCATCTGTTGGGAATGTCAACACATTTCTTGCAGAGTGAAGGTACCTATCGAAATTTACAAGCAAAGAATGGTTGTATTAATAATTTTCGTTTTTTTCTTTATTTGTATTACAAAATGATCATTAGAAATGATAATTCGGAATTTTTTTTTTTAAATTACAAGATGAAATGTTGTGAAATATACGTGAAAATACTAAAGGATCATATTGCCTTCTCATAATGAACACAATAATTTTACATACCGCAAGAATGCTTCAACGTCAGTCACCCCTATGGCCTCAGCGTGCTTTTTAATCTCCTTTAAAGTCATGACCTTTACTCCTCGCCCCTTCATTGTCATAAGGTCATGTTCTAATGCAATCCAATGTCCAGGCAAGAGTTGTCCCCATTGCGCCTGATATGGGGCACATCTCATGACACTATGCCATATCTTCTCAAAAACTCCATCTCTCGGTTCGGGGTTGCTGATATGGATAACATCAACCACGTGTTGGTCAAAGATATGTGCAATATCTGCATCCCTTTCTTTTGACCTAATAGTGGTCATAATAGCATTTAGAGTTGTTGTCCTTTTGTCCTAGTTGAATGGGAGGTACAAATGGGCATATCAATATAAAATTATATGAAGTGATGCAATATAACGCAATAAGTGTACTATGTAACAGCAATACTTCATCTATCACTATGGTAACACAGGCATTCTTTCAATATGAAATACCTTGTCACGGGGTACCAAAATGGATGATGGCGGCGGTATTGTAACTACTCTTCCAATGTCAGGAGTACAGATGACTAGAAAAAGCGAATCCTCTTTAGGTCGAGGTCAGTGTGTTGATATTAGATATTTGGTAAGTTACTATCAGTTGCGGATAGAAAAAGGAACATGTATTTATATGGGAACTGGCGGTGAACCCGAGACCTTTGATAAATCTGTCGAACGCCTAAATTTCTGCTGATCTATTGTTACTATTGAGGATGATTTCTTCATCATATTTTTATTTATTCACAACGTGTCTCTGATAACGCAAACGACTGCAGATTACACTTACCCAATTAAAGAAAATAAAATTCTATCGCATATGGACATTTGGGTACTAATACTGAATATGGAAAACCAGTCAAATATCATGATTGCATTGAAATTTGCTTTGGAGTTTACCCAAGACTATGGTGACGTCAATCCATAATGTCGTGTACAACATCGAACTACCTGCTGTCATTAGTTGTACTTGGTTCATCACTGTCTTTCTGCAGAAATTTAAAGGATCTTTCTGCGCTTTAAGATGCAAGGCGAAACAAAAAAACTGAGCATGAGTTTTCTACATGTTTAGAAACACGCATACTATATTACTTACCATAGGTATTTTATCAAGGTGAGTACCAATAAGAACAATGGGAGGTTTGTACTTTCCAATGGAGTAAGTGTAAATGAACTTCAGCCAGTAAAACACAGTATCTGTGTAAGAACCAATATTTGATAAAAATACATTAGCATAGACAGAATAAGTTTTTGGAGTTACTGAGAGTTACTCAATATTAAGGTCGTTCTATCACAACTTTCAAAAGAAGGATTCAACTTTTCGATAAAATGTTGATGTCGTAATTACGAGGAGTTTTCCTTGTCAAATCCAGCAAACGTTTTGTTATAACCTTTACACACATACAAAATAATGAAGATAGATTTTATGTAAGTGTGCAATACTTGTTTCAGAATCCGATTTCGTGTAGCATACATATTATGGATGGTATATACAAATGAAATAAAGTCTTAATTCAGCACATAATTATATGTATGTATAAACAAATCTGCTGTAAAATGAATTAAAAATATTATAAATTGGAACCTAAAATTATAAAAGTCTTACCAAGATCTGTTGAGTCATGTTTCATACAGTTTTCCAAGCTGAATAAAAGTATGATAACTGCATCGGCATTTAAGAAAATATGCTGAAAGTTACTGAACATAACTTCACCTCCAAAATCAAATATGTTGACGTAGGCCATGTCTCCACTGTGAGTCTTCTTGCTACTTTCCGATGTCCCTAAAAATGACAGGAAATACAAAAGATTGACTTACTTCCTCTGAACAACAACGCATTAAAGGATCGATTCACCTAAGTTAATTATCTGGTGAAATAGGATGGTCAGTAGACAAACTGACGAAATCCATGATGCATATTACTCGTAGCTCAAAACAAGTTCAGTCATCAAAACCATCAAGGCCATTTACCAAACCTCATTCAGTAACTGAAGTTTTATAAAACCAATTTATTATTAAAGTTGATTAATCTTGGGATGGTATTTAGGTCGTTAGAAATAACACAGATTTGCAGACTAATATTTCTTGAAGGCCAACATTATGATTTTGTAAATCTGTCATTTATAACAACCATAAATACATTAAGAAGGCAATTCAATTCTTCTATTTATAATCCTTACTAATGTTGATGTCTCATGCAAATTATAACTCGATATAATCTTTACCTATTCATTATTTTTGCGCGTAGTTTTCCTACCAATGATAATTAGATAATTACACTTTTGTGTGGTGACTTCATATAGTGCATTGCCGTGAAAACATAAATACGTTGTGTTTACTAGATGTTAGCAATTATAAAAAAAAAATAATTTGAATCTATTGTTTCAAAAGCATTACCCATGTCAGATAGTTTGGTCCTTGTCTAAGAAACAAGAAGAAAATACAAGCATGTCAACATAATCATAATTCAAACTCAAATTCAATAACACTTGTGTTTAATATGAACAAAGGAAAGACTTACACCGACATTCCTGGAAATGAACAAAAAGAATAAGACCATATGTTCCGCAAGAGTACGCGTCTTCTGCTTCATCGATAATACCCAGCATGTAAATCTTGATCAATCCAAGTAAGTAACGTCATATTCTCAAATGAGAACAAGATATACAGCAATGGAACCAATAGACAAACTAACGAGCATCAAACACTCTCAGCTTCAAACAGCACAAAGAAAAATGTATATTTTTCAATGCCATCACTGTGACGACCGTAAAACTATCCCATAATTTTCATCAACTTGCACCGTGTGTAACTCTGTGTTTCTAGTTTGTCTGTCTGTCAGTTGACGACTTCTAGCACTAAAATCGTGAAAATGGGAACAGGCCCTTGGATATTGAATCAACTGCGACAGAGAAATTGAAATCATCACACTTATCATACAGATTAGTGGAAAACTGGCCATTTGGTTTCGATGTAGGAAAATATCGCGGTAAGCCACCCATGTAGAAGCGTCTGTCCTGTATACGATGGACGCGATAGATAAATTCCTTGTTATTGAAAGAGTGAAATTAAACGACTTTGCAAAGTCTTTGTGACCTGTTTGGTAAGCTCTTCAATAAAATCAGCCTTGTATGAAAACAAAGACATGTTAGCAGGCAGCGGGGCACAGTTGGTAAACTAGATTGTTCCATGTGGCTGTATTTACTAGGAGATGGTCAGTGGTAAAAAGGCGCACAAATGAGGTCACATTAATGTCTTTTCTATATTTAGAATATGACTTTGAAGAGAGAATCAGAAAACGTACTGCTAAATCTACAGTTAGACGTATGGCTAAATATCCATTTTTGTTGGGACGATCGGTGGCTGAACGATTGCCAAGGCCGAGTGGTGTCCGGCAGCTGCGCGAGATGTCGTTGGTCTAAAACAGAACCAGAACGATACAGTCGATTGGTTCAACCGAACAACCACTCCTGCTACGCTAGGTTCCGGTCTTTGTAATACAAGATACTAGCAAATAACGAAAGACCTACTTATCTAAAGCTTCAAAAGAGAGAGGTATTCTTGTCTTCGACTTAGTCGTCATAAAATTAAGATTATATGAATGTATAAAGAGCTGGTGTTAAAAATATAATGAATCTACAAAAACAATTTTGAAATGAACTAACCTGATTTGGTATTTTTATCTGAAAATGACAGTGTCCCAAGCATGTCACGAAGCCGATTTAAACTCGCAGTTCTCTCAATGTCGTTTTCAGGAAGAAGAATCCGTTCATGTGTGTTTTTGTTGATCATCAGACGATTCAAATTTACGTCCATGGTGTTGGTGGAGTCGACTCCGTCTTCTGGTAATGCCTTTTCAAGGAGATGGTAAGTCAACGTAGTCTTTCCGACTCCTTGTGGACCAAGAAATATGACCCGGATATTTGCAGACTCTTCAACACTTTTTTTCAAAGCACTTTCATAGCGCCTAGCAAATGCATCATCTAGTTTCCCAAACGTGTGTAGATATTTCATTATGACATCATTGTTGGCTGTTTTCTGGTTGGCTAAGACGGTGTCGGGCAATCCTTCGAACATAAAAATAAAACATACGTACAATGTAACAACCCAATAACGATAAGTAGAGATGAGTGCAGAACCTATTTGAAACGTTTAATCCGGATATTTGGTTGCGGTGATATTTTTCATTTAGATAACATATTCTTACTAGACATGGTATTTTACGACAATGTGTCCTAATAACATAAACAACGATGGAAGACAATGTATCTAATTATATAACAAGACAATAGTTTGTGAATAACATTCACGATACATGTACAATAGTATTCAGAATGTCATTTCCAGTATTTTGTCATAAATTTCAGAACACTTTCTGATTATCATCCTTAAATTAAAAAATAAAAATAATTTCATCACAATTTTGCTTGACATCAAGAAATTAATCATAGAATAGACAATTTTTATCAAAGCGAAACTTGCCTATCAAAACAAACATTTGCTTACCACTTGGATGCAGTTTTCGCCATTGCAAGAAGTTCTGTGTATTTCTGTCGTGTGTCTTGTCTTGACATGCCTTCCCTTCATTATCTCGCTGAAGCAAATCCCCTCCTAGCCGTACAAATTTTTCAATAATACGAATATCTGGCCGATTTGGCATGCAAGCCATGTGAAGTGGCGTTGTTCCATCTTTGTCGACGTCATTAACTAGTTGTATGACTTTTGAGTGGTGTTGTACCACGTGACATAAAAGACTGTAATTGCTATACAAACCAATGTAATGAAGAACGTTCCATCCCGCATTATTTTTACAAAGTATATCAACTCCATTGCCGATACATTCATCAAATGTTTTCATGTCACCTTCTCTGGACGCATTGAACAGCTCATCCGTAAGGCTTCTTTTCCCCGAGAGTGCCATTTTAACTATCAAATCCTGATAAAAAGAAGTGCAGTCTCGATCAATATACCAAAAACATTGAATTTACCACATAATATGCATCATAAATAATTCACTGCACCTAGACAATCCGTGATGTATTTCACTATCCCGAGACAATCCAAAATATGTAGTACAGTACAGGCATAAAAGGAGCAAGGGTGTTTCACAACATGAGGCAATCCTATATGCATTTGGTTACACCGATATGATCATAAAATGTCTGCTTAAAACACAAACACGGTATTCCAGAGGTGTTTTAAAACACCGACACACAATTTAAGAGGTGTTTAACAACACCGACACACAATTCGAGAGGTGTTGTACAACACCGACACACAATACTAGGGGTGTTTTACAACACCGACACACAATACCAGGGGTGTTGACAAAACCGACACACAATACCAAGGGTGTTTTACAAAACCGACGCACGATACCAAAGGTGTTTTACAACACCGACACACAATACCAGGGGTGTTTTACAACACCGACACACAATACCAAGGGTGTTTCACAACACCGACACACAATACCAGGGGTGTTTTACAACACCGACTGTTGGTGCTGTGAGCTGGGGGAATTATAATATCGGTGGTGAAATGGTACAGCCTGCCACAAACAACCCATCAGCCACGTTTTCTTCCATCAACTAACTTTATTAACCTCAATAGAAAAGAGTTCCAAAATTGGAGTTGCGTCCCCTGGACCCGTGGGTCATGCCAACTTACCTACCCAACACCCCAATACACAACATGCCCCCCCCTCAAAAATAAAAATTGGCACAATTTTTACATGGGTAGGAAGTGACATGAAATACAGGATCCAGGTTCGAACAAAAAGTTACATAATATTTTATTTTCAAAAGAGTGGTTAAGGAAATGAACTGAGACATGACACCCGGAAGTCCTCAAGTACATATGAGTATTAAAGATTCATCGACTACCAAATATGCATCACCAACATAATTTCCATCACATTCACACACACTAACATTTTCCATGGTACCAATTGGAACTTTCTTACACTCTAACTTACAGGAAATAATGTTAATGAGGGCTAATGTAAGCAAACTGCTAGGTTTTTTTTTTTTTTTTTTAAAAAAAAGATTAGAAAATGTATAGGAAATCCAGATATCATGGCAAAGTACAAACAGAAATCAATTTATATTTGATAATTGAAAAGTAATAACACTTTTTAACAAAGCAACTGTTCTAAACATGGAAATATTACATTGAATAATGAATGTATATCATGAAGTTGTAAATCACAAGTAAACATGCAAGGCATATGGGCACTATACTTGATTAATATCAGCCAATCATATGAGCATATGTAAATTCTTATATCATTCAAATGATGAAAATACAGTCTATCAAGCTCGCTGTGGCTATATTCAATTAATCACAAACTTAGCAAACACTTGCAGTTATATGACTTAAATTGTAACTTCAGACATTTCATAATTTCACATTAATTCAGCAAGGCCTTGACCTCAAACAATGTCAAAACATTGAGTTATATCAATCAATACAAGCTTATAAGCAAAGTTTAGGTAAGTTACGAGACTCGAAAATTGTATCCATGTGTTTTTCATCCATGAATTCCATCACACATTACAGTTATTGAAATTTGAATAATTCAATCAATGAAAATTATTCCATAACAGAAGGAATGAATATAAAGCATTTTATGTACAAATATTTCATACTGTCTCAGGTAATTATTGAAAAATCAAACCTGACACAAGAAAGACAAGCAAGTAAAGTCAAGAAAAGAATAATACCCAGGTAATTATTTGATAACCAAATGTTATCTGTACTGTAAATTGAAATTTGATGAAACAATTTTGAATCATGAATTTGAAACTTATAATACATTATATTTTACATATTACATAGGCATGTAATCTCAAAAGGCAAATTTGACATTAAAAAAAAACAAGAAACAACTATTTTAAGGATCACCACTCAAAATACTAAATGACTATATATCTTTAAGGATAACCAACTAAAAAAAATAAATTTTAAGGATACCTGACCCATGATTCTATGTGTATTAAATCCTAAATTTTAAGGATGAATCACCCAGTCATAAGAGTTACCAAGAAATTAGGGCTTATCAAAATATAGTCATACTGAACATCATAAAACATCTTAATAAAGTATGATACATAGCAAAGCAAATTGACTGTAGGAAAATCAACAAGTATATGTTATACACACTGAAGAAAACTAGCAAAATGTTAATTATGTCTCTAAATATATGCTAGTCAGTTTGACATGTGCATTTTTGGTATCTAGCGAATAACTGGAGGTGGTTTACACTCAATATTACGCTTGGTTTTGATATCCATTTTGTGTAGAGGAACCCAGATGGAGTGCTGAGCAGGCTCACCGACAAGGTGGACAAGATACTTTCCATCAGAGACCCTCTGTGCCAACACTCTCTTGACCTTTACATGTCCTTGGTCATCTGAGGAGAGAGAGCTAGAGATTGAAGAATTAACTTGGTGTGGGTCAACATGATCTGAATCACGGTATCGTAGAGGTAATTTCCGAACACGTTGAGGACGCGTAGGTAAAGGTGCATTATCCACATTGTCACTTGTAAGAGCTGTCTCTGCCTCGTTTTCAGAATGACTGGTGTCCAACCCAGGGTCCTCGAGTGACACTGGTTCATGTACAGAAGCACATGCGTGTGACGTAGTAACTTCATCCAGAAAAAAAAATGAGGGTTTGGTCTACGGACATGGGCCATTTTCAGGCGATCCAGATGAATGGCACCACGGAGAGACTTTCCAGACGAAGGGTCCTCAAGAATGGCAAGATGGGGACTTGGAAGTGATGATACCACATATGGTCCAGAATATCGTGGCTTGAGTTTAGCACCCTTTCCCGAAGGTTCAGTGAGCAAATAAACATAGTCATTTGGTTGTAGATGTAAAGGATGAGCCTTGGCGTTGGCTCTGTCCAGCATACGCTCCTTAGAGGCAATAGCATGTTCCTTTACTTCCTGATGAATTACCTCACAAAAAATAAATGGCGACATTGAGTGATGGGGCTGTCTGATCACGTGACTGGTATGGCTCGAAATAGGTCGGCGTGGCGCAGTTTGTCAAAGGCTCAAAGTTCATTTGATACAGATAAATACAACACTTCATGCATATATTCACGCTTATCGATTGAGAAAACATTCTGGTAAATTAGGATTCTCCACCATGTTGGTGCTGTGAGCTGGGGGAATTATAATATCGGTGGTGAAATGGTACAGCCTGCCACAAACAACCCATCAGCCACGTTTTCTTCCATCAACTAACTTTATTAACCTCAATAGAAAAGAGTTCCAAAATTGGAGTTGCGTCCCCTGGACCCGTGGGTCATGCCAACTTACCTACCCAACACCCCAATACACAACACGACACACAATACCAGGGGTGTTTTACAACACCGATACACAATACTAGGGGTGTTTTACAACACCGACACACAATACCAAGGGTGTTTTACAACACCGACGCACAATACCAAGGGTGTTTTACAACTAAATTCTCATTTTACGTATCAATTCCTTGATGTTTTAAAAAATCAATTTCTATTGATTTTAATAATTAAAATTTTGTTTTAAATAATTGGGATAGCTCTGACAATACCAATACATTTTACATTAAAACTCTTTCATACGCCAAGATATTCCACCCAAGTGGTCTCAAAAATTGCCGTAAAAAAGAGGTCTTTGCCGAAAGTAACATCAAACATCGACAACGTAATACAAAGGACGCAAAATTATTGTGCAATTAATTGACAAAATAATATGAAAAAAAAATCTTAGCATCTAGATTTAGCAAACAGAGTTTTACCTAGAACACTAAAACAAAATATAAACAGTTACTACAATAATCTACAGTACAGATGTGTATAAACTGTATCAGATGACGTCTATTGGGGAGTATCACAAAGGCACGTCACATCTCTACGCTCGGGTGACTGTGCTGCATGGGTGGGTTTGTAATACAAGAACAGCGAACAGTATTACACGGGTAAAAATAAGAGAAAAAAAAAAAAAAAAAGATTAAATCGAGACAAATTTAATTTTTTTTTTCTGTAGATACTTTCAGATCAGTAAATGTATTGCATCACATATATACAACAAACAGATTAACAATAATAATGTGTCTGAAAAAATGCAAATGGCTGCTATGCCAATGCTACGAATATGAAAATCGAAAGTAGTATGATGTTTGAAATATTAAGCTTGAAATACTCCGCTTACAAACGAATTACAAAATAAAAATAGAATATAAACAAAAACCTAGTATTTCTAATGTTGTTAATCTTATAACCAGCGTTTAATTTATCATGTTACTTACATTGCGTTAGATGGCAATCATGATTTTCCTCCAAGTAAATTTCATACTTTTAAGTTGCACGTGCACATCTTGTAACACAAATATGTGTTCTTCTGATCAATTGACGTAAGTCATCCTTCACAACACTCTATAAAACCGCCTTATACGGGAGTATCGTGATAATCCGTTAGGCTCTGTTTCATGATCTTACAATAACAGGCTCCGTACCGATAGATCTCGTTCAATGTATCGAGTGTATGCAAATTCATGAGGTCATTGTTCAACTAATTTTAGAAACATCCAACATGTCATCCTACTTCATTCACTTGAAACTCTATTCTGGTATTTTTTAATAACGTACTATATTTTCAATAGGTTTGTCATGTATAAATATTGTATATTAATCCACATTCAGATGTGCCGTGTTTACATGCATTGTATCATATTGATTGTTTACATAAAAAAGAACTTTATAGAAACCTTTAGAGTATACAAACATGATGGAACTGAGTCTGAGCAGCCTTGATTGAGCTTAATTTGAGACTTCAGTCTGTTAAGTGTGAACTTGTACAGTGATTTAGTGATAGCCTAATGCATTGTGGACTTGCACTTATATATACCCATGGATTTGGAGGATTTCCACGGAAAGATAAGTTCTTACTTTTGATTAATTAGTAGCTAGCTCTGTACACCATCACAATATTTGTAATTTAACTGCATAGAATGTATTTGTTGTTATTAAATTGTTGAATTTTAACCTAGCTGTTGGGTTTTATTTGTCGTACGTTGATTCCGTAACGTAACAATGTTTAAATCACGATGTGAATTATCATAAGAAAATGTGTCTGTTTCTTCCAGCTTCTCATATCCTATTGCAATAATAATGTATCTTCATTATTGTGCACTGTGCCTCTATTACGACTTTAGTGCAACCACACCATTTCTGATTAACAGATCGACATTTTAGAATCTAGTTGATATGCTTTTGTGCATTTTTCAGTTTTCACTCCCGCCCCAGAGGTTTATTTTCATTTCTGTTAAAAAAGTGGAGAGGGGCGCCTAATCTTATTTAAAGTTTACTCAAAACTTCGTTATTTTTTGCTATTTTTTTCTGACTTATGAAATGAATTACCGTTAAATATGGTTGAATATGGTGCATGCAACATGATATATAGGTGATTATGGGTTGGTGTATAGAATGGTCGATATTAAGACTGTCAGTATGTTGTTTTCTTTCCCGGAAGTGATGAAAATACAAGATTGGAGACATAACAAATTTGTTAGAATTAACAAGTAGTTTAGATCATTATCAGACATTCGGAGCGATCTCATTATTTCGATTCGTTTCATTTTGCTACGTTTTGTATTCACCACAGGCTACTTCTACTTTCATTTTCACAACAAAGATGGCTGCGTCGACTCGCAAGACAGTTGAGTTGTTCTATGATGTTGTATCACCGTACTCCTGGATAGCTTTTGAGGTAAATATGTTTCTTTGATTTAGCGTTCTGGAATCTCATTTTGCAGTTACAAAAGTAAGACTATGTTTTCGTGTGGTTAAAACCAATGACAGTTGAATCAAAGGTCATTTCATGGCCGCATTGTGTATATGGACATGTGCAAGCTCCGTTTGTTATTTGTACATGCGTGTATTGACAGATGAGGCTTATGGGTAATATTGTTGTATTTGTCCCTCAATTGTGGGACATTACCCATACGCAGGGTTGTACCGAACCTGGTCCTGGTACGTTACAAGGATAATTTCACATTAACATTCAAATAACAAACATATCAACACATTTCTCAAGATTCAACCAACCTCCTTACACGCGATAGTATAAACTTAATTTAGTTTAAAACAATTGTAAAACAGGCTTTAAGTTTATATTAAGCACTCCTGTTGGCCGGGATGGAAGCACGCGAGGGGTCTTACTGTGGGAGGAAACTGGGTTACAGTGGAAAAACTTGTGTGGTAGGGCAGGTGGTCAAACTCGTAATACCTAGGTGAAAGCGAGTGTGCCGCCAGACTACATGTGATTCCATTTACTAATTAGCTGACAAATTGTACCTATGAGTAGTATTCCTTTTCACTTCCAGTTAAATATTAGAAATGCACACACAGTATATGTGAACATGTATGTTACAAAAGAACATAGAAGGGTAGAGTGGCCAGAAAGAGATAGAAAGTTCAAGCTTCAGCAGAGAAAAAACATGTTTTCCTATTTCATATGGACATCATGTCATAAAATACTGCAGATTTACTATATGAAAATATAAACTATAGATTACATATGATGTATCATTCTTATGTATCTAGTCCTGTATGCTATAAATTTTTCAAAAATCTACATACCGTACATTTTACAGGGTTTTCCATAAGAGCCAGTCGCCGGCCAATTTGACCGCCTACTTTGATCATTTGGCCGCCTACACCAATCCAGTTCCGTAATAATGTTCCGTACACAACTACACATACACGGCAGGCCAGCCTCCTACTTTCACTACACAGCCTACTACTAACAAAATTATGGAAAACCTTGTCATTTTAATAGCTTTACGCAGGTTTTAAATATTGATAGATGATTCTTTCAGTAGTAGTTATTAATTGGTATTATTGCAGATTTTTCTTGTAATATCTTTTATGTAAAATATATTTTACTTTTTCAGGTGATGTGTCGGTATCGAACTAAGTGGAATATTGACCTAAAGTTAAAACCATTCTTTCTAGGTGGAATAATGTCCGGGGCAGGTTTGTATTATTACGTCATCCGAGACAAATCTCAGGGTGACCTATTGTGATCTCCTTTTGTCCGATGTCGTGCATAAACTTTTAACTTTTTCGACTTATTATGGAAAACTCCTGTTTTGATTTCAGCTTATCCCAAGGGGCTGTTGGGCAGGACCAAAAATGGGGCTAATTGACTGAAATTTCAAAGATGTTTTGCTGTTCTGGATAGAAGGTTTCATATAGGAAAATTCAAATTTTGAGTGTGATTTTTTAAAAAAAATTCAAACTTGATTAGAAGTCTTAGCATGGGACAGCAGTTATATACACAATTTACATTATGTGTACAATATTGTTAAAGTTATTTTACTTTTTTTAACAAAATTATTTCTATGACATGTTGCAAGAAGCATTGTGACTCAGGTGACAGTTAATGCCCTTAGACCTCTCAGTCTTGAATATTCCATGGTTACAATGATTACTTTTGTCTTTTATTGAATTGTAGAAATCTCAAGAAATACGCAAGGAAATATTAGAATTAAACTGACTTTACATCCACTTAATTTAGGCAGATAAAGCAACTGTGCAAAAACTATGAGTGACTGGGCTATCAGAGTGATTCAACCCTTCTAAACAAAAAAAAAAAAAAAAAAAAGAAAAAACAATAATACTCTATTGTTCTATAATCCATTTTCCTTTTGTGGGTATGACATTATTTGGATCAGAACAGAAGATACAATTCTGTAACTTCTCCTTGTTCTCTATATAGGATGTCCATCTTCATCCTTTGTTAAAGTTTTACCTTCTTTTTTAGATTTAAAGTTTTAACTACAATACTGTTGACATGTTGGTATATACTTTGAAGTTGATGTAAGTATAGAGAGGAGGGCAGATGATATAAATGTAAAAATGCCCATTATTTAAACTAGCTTTCTGAAAACACCTTTGTTCTTCTGTATATCAATATATGCAAGTTTAACTTGTAAATATGTTTTGCATCTGTTATATATGTTGCAGTAGTACTGTCTTTAAAATTTGATTCCTAAAAGTGTTGTCCTGAAAGCATGAGTACACTAGATTTATTTCACTATAACTTAATGCCCGCTAATAAATGTTATATCATTGTCTATCCCTATTATGGGCTTGAGATTATATGTTGACCTTATTACAGGCTTTCAAGCGGGCCCTTATTTTCCTAATTTTCCTTATTTTTTAACTTCAGGCCTTATATTCCTTATTAAAGCTCCAAAATCCTAAAAAAGCCCTGCACTTTTGGTGAAAATCCTAGTTTTTTTTAGATATTTAAAATTTGCATAATCCATATTAGTTAATACTTTTCAATTTAATGAAATCTACCCTTAGTTGCTTTCAGTACTGTGATAAAGTGTACAGCTTAGAAGACATGTTGGTGGTTATCAAGTGCAGTACTCAGCATTGTCTCGAGCCATGCCCATGCCGGTCTACCTTAATATGCTTGAATTGGAATGCTGAATACCTCTGTTGATAGCCACTGGTATGATCTTCTGGGTTGGTAATTAGCTTTAATAATATTGTAGTCATCCACCCAATGGTGAGTGTAAGTTAAATTTTGTATTTAAAAGTGAACTTAATCCCTTATTTTGTCATAAAAAATCCTAAAATTAGCCCTTATTTTTTGAAAATTTAGCCCTATAAAAGGCCCTTATTTTTTATCACAAGTGATTTGAAAGCATGTTATTAAGGAGAGTGGTATATTAAGAGTATTTTTTGTTCTAACTGGAGACTTTTCAGGCCTTTCTTTGTGATTAAGAGATTTGTTGTGTACTATATGCATTGTTTAACAGATGCTATTTAATGTTGGCTATCAGACATTTGTTTCTAGACATGCAAAAATGGTAACTATAAAGAATATGGCAATGTTCCTGGAACTTTTAAGATGTAAGATGAATTAAAGAATTCACTTTAGAAGATCTGTAGTACTTTTTAAATAGGACTTATTGCAATTGCGGAAGAGTTATTTCTTTGAATCTTGTGTGCTGGAGTTAGGAAAGAAAACATGCTGCTCCTGTCATTATGTCATGAGAAATAACCAACCAACCAAGATGTATTGATATGGAAGAATTTTGGATTCATTTTTTAAATGAACTATTTGCATTTCCAGATAACAAGCCACCAGGCTTAGTTCCAGCAAAAGCCAAATACATGTTAAAACATGACCTCTCTCGTCTTGGGAACTACTACAGTATTCCAATAATTCCCCCATCTGTAAGTATTGACAATGACAAGTTGAAAATAACTAATATTTTAACTGGAAGACCGTCCTTACAAATGTTTTTCAAATAGATATTTTGAGGAGTTTCATTTGAATAGTAGGAATAAGCTACACTGTTCCTCTTTAAATATATACTTAAATTGGGTTCACACTGATACATATGCCTGGGGGTGGCAAATAATTCTTAAATTTAGAAATTTTATTCAACCCCTATGGGCTTTGGGGTGAGGCCCAAAAAGGGGACATTAGACAATATTTTGCTTCAAAATGCTACTCCTTCTAAATGCCTTCATAGATTTCAACCAAATTTGGTGTAAAACATTATGGGAGATGGATTATCATTTCTTAAATTCAGAAAGTTGATTCGACCCCTAGGGACTTGGGGATGAAGTCCCAAATGGGAAAGTTAGTTATATTTTGCTTCAAATGCTACCGTTTCTTAAAGCTTGAATAGATTTCAACCAGATTTGGTCTATAACATCATGGAGAGTGGGAAATCATTTTTCTTAAATCAAAAAAATTTGATTCGACCCCATGGGACTTAGGGCCGAGGCCCCAAAAGAGGAAGTTAGGCAGTATTTTGCATCAAAAGGCTACTCTTCGTTAAGGCTATAATGGATTTAAGGATTTAAACCAAATGTGGTCTGAAACATTATGAGGAAGTTGCAAAGATATCAAACATACATGAAGTGGTCCTGAGATTGTCCTGTCCAAATTAAGTTTTATGCTTTTTTCCAAAATCCAACATAACTCATTTGGAACAAATAGTCTGAACTACTTCTCATGCTTTATTCACACCAATGAGACTGCTTCCTCATGATTGATGACAGTTTTTTTAATTTACACAGAATCCTGCTGAGGTAATGTTTGTCAAAGGGACATTGATGCCACAACGATTCCTTACTGCTGTTGACATGCAGCAGCCAGAACTAGTGGAGGATCTGTCACGGCAGTTCTGGATGAGAGCATGGAATAAGGTTAGAATTTCCTCCGTTCTTCAAAAATATCTACATTTGTTACAGAATTACAGTAATGAGGAAACAACAAACCTTCATAAAGAGAAACTTACAACACAGAATTTGTTCTCAGAAAGTTTTGCCCTGATTTCATTTTGCGATATATCTTGAGCCAGGGTAAATTGGTTGCTCTATGATAATTTAGTCAATTTGAACTAGGGTCAATGATAGAATCTTTCACCCCCTTGGAGGTGAGAGAGGTAGATCTCAGCCTAAGGGAAAGATGATTAAACATGAGGCTTGCAGAGTGTTTGCAACTTAAACATCAATCTATCTCACTAACTACAGGATGAATAATTATTTCTCTCTTGTCCTGCTAGTTTGATTAGGAACTCTTATGTGTTCTTGTTGTACAAGTGCTTAGCATGGCTGACGTGAAGTCTGTAAATTGTTACTGTGACATCATATCATTGTCTTGACAGGGGAATCCCCCCGTCTCAACCCAAGGGTGAGATGAGTAAATCTGACACTGTTGGATTTATCTTTCCAGAGTAAGAAAATCTGTTCTCCATCACTCTGGCAGTTAACTTCTTATATGTGCAGGTGCTTAGCACACTGAAGTGATCCTAAACATAAGGAGCATATACAATTTAATGTATTTATAATACATCCACGAAGAGGTACATCTTCTTCACTTACAGTTAAAATGATCCTGGCTAAATATGAGTCTGTAATGCTATAGTGATGATTGTTTGTCTGGTTTGACTGGTTCGGTCTATCTGCAATATTTTTCTTTGAAGATGTAGGCCACCTTGTACATGTACATGTATGAGATTTTACCAGTAAAACACGTGTATGGTCTCAACATGTTCTTGAAAAATTAAACACATCAAATCCTGTCCATTTATTTTAGAATATGTGTACTTTTCTTGTATAACAAATACACTCACATTTTACATGTATGTATTTCCAACTCAATATGAATGAAAAATGGGTTGGTTGTGTACTTTGCAGGATCAAGGAATTTCTGATGAAGAAGGCATCAGAGAGGTAAGTATAACTGTGCACTGGATTTCTACTGTAGAAATTGCAATTTGTAAGAATATAAACATATGAAATAATAAAAAGTTATATTTACGGATAGGAATTAAAAAAAAAATTGCTGTGATGTCCCTTTTGCTTAAAATTTAATGTTTAAAATTTAACTACAAAAAATTCAATCTTTGTTGTTTCCACATGGTGAAATAAATATATTAATTCATACTGAAGAAGAAAGCATCAACTTGCAGCATACCAGATAGTTTGATCTATGGAATATATATTCAAACTTAGAATTTTTGTTTCTTTGTTTATTGTTTATTTGTATGGCATTGCTAAGATGTAGCCTTATTAAAGTCAGATGTGTATTACCAACTCCAGAACTGTCAATGGCATAGCAACATTGCAGATAATATAAAAAAATTAAATTTTTTCCTCTTAATGAGGCGAAAAGTATAAATAAAAGCTTTGAGCTGCTTTCAATTTGCATCCAAGGGTATATGAATGTCAACTGGATAAAGAAAAATTCACAATAATGAATATAATGTACTATTAAAGTTTATTTAATTAGGATTAATCCTGATGGCAGTCATATACCCATAGATGCAAATTGAATGCAGTTTAGAGCTAACATTTATTTACAACAAGTTTGCTCTGCTTATCAGATGTGATTTAAGGCTTAAGCCTTGTCACAGTGTATTTTTTACAGTTATCAAAAAAGTCTTTTGTTTTTGTAGACATGTAAAGATATTAGTTTCCCGAAGGATTTAATGGAAGACTGTCTTAAGAAGACGAAAGACCAAACTGTGAAAGATAGACTGAAACAGTTCACCACAGAGGCCCTCGATTTAGGGGTAGGTCACTGAATCAGGTCACCACTAGGCCTTAGATCTAGGAGTAGGTCACTGAATCAGTTGGCCACAGAGGCCTTCGACCTAGGAGTTGGTCACTGAATCAGTTGACCACAGAGGCCTTCGACCTAGGAGTTGGTCACTGAATCAGTTGACCACAGAGGCCTTAGACCTAGGAGTAGGTCACTGAATCAGACTTAGGTGTTGGGCACTGAATCAGTTGGCCACAGAGGCCTTAGACCTCGAAGTAGGTCACTGAATCAGGTCACTGGAACAGTTTACCACTAGGCCTTAGACCTCGAAGTAGGTCACTGAATCAGGTCACTGGAACAGTTTACCACTAGGCCTTAGACCTCGAAGTAGGTTACTGAATCAGTTGGCCACAGAGGCCTTAGACCTAAGAGTAGGTTACTGAATCAGGTCACTGGAGCAGTTTACCACAGAGGCCTTAGACCTCAAAGTAGGTCACTGAATCAGTTCACCGCAGAGACCTAAGACCTAAAAGTAGGTCACTGAATCAGTTCACCAAAGAGGCCGTAGTCCTACGAGTAGGTCATGGAATCAGTTGGCCACAGAGGCCTTTGACATAGGAAGATGTCACTGTGTCACAGTGCTGACATTGTTACAGAAATATGATATTGGTCTAATGGAAGGCAACATGCAGGTGATCAATCAACTGTTAATAGGAGATCTTTTTCGTAAGTCAAAAGAGCAATATGTATGGTTCTACATGTGGTAATGTGAAATAACCATAATATTTCACTTTTTGAATATATATATACCATATTATGTAAGAGAATTTAAATTAAGATTCCTCATCCCCTTCCTGCCAGCTATGCAACAGGTAATTGGTTTACATCATTACAACTTGCAGATTATTTAAATATAATATAAAATATAAAAATAAAGCAAATCGTGCAGAGCTTTTGTGTGTAGAACTCCATATTGATTACTTTTTGTCAGTTTGGTTAACTGAAGATAGAGTTTCATATTAACTCCTATTTTTTGTGGCATTATATGCATTTGGAGGTGACAGCATCTTTCTTCATTATCCTTAATGTAGAATTGTTTATTTCAGTGTTACAATTTATAATGAAGATGTTAAAATAACTTTGTGGTAAAAATAATAAAAATGTTCAGATTTATTTATATTTATTTTATAACTTTATTAGGATGCAAAGAAATGATGTTAGTTTTTTCTGTTTTCTTCTTTTTACAGTTGATATGTTATAAAAATAAAGTAATATGATATGACATGTTATTATGATTTGTTGCAGGCTTTTGGGTCTCCCACTATTGTGGCTCATGTCAACAACAAACGGGAAATGGTCTTCGGATCAGACAGATTTCTAATATTGGCCAGTATATTGAGTAAGTTATTAAACTAGATATGGCAATCTGTCGTTAGCATAGAAGTATTAATTTATCTCTAATAGACCTTTCAAAATAAATGAAAATTATGAAAAAAAAAAAATTTTGTAATATTAAATCAACTTATGGGTCTAACAGGTGGCCAAAGTAAAATAAGTATACTAAGCAAAATATGAGAGAAAAGACCAGAGAATATGTCACTGTAGGGTAAGGCAGAATGTCACTGTAGGGTAAGGCAGAATGTCACTGTAAGGTAAGGCAGAATGTCACTGTAGGGTAAGGCAGATTGTCACTGTAGGGTAAGGCAGAATGTCACTGTAAGGTAAGGCAGAATGTCACTGTAGGGTAAGGTAGAATGTCACTGTAGGGTAAGGCAGAATGTCACTGTAAGGTAAGGCAGAATGTCACTGTAAGGTAGGCAGAATGTCGCTGTAAGGTAAGGCAGAATGTCACTGTAAGGTAAAGCAGAATGTCACTGTAGGGTAAGGCAGAATGTCACTGTAAGGTAAGGCAGAATGTCACTGTAGGGTAAGGAGGAATGTCACTGTAGGGTAAGGCAGAATGTCACTGTAGGGTAAGGCATAATGTCACTGTAGGGTAAGGAAGAATGTCACTGTAAGGTAAGGCAGAATGTCACTGTATGGTAAGGCAGAATGTCACTGTAAGGTAAGGCAGAACACACTGAAGTTTGTCACTTAATTTTCAACTGTATGACTTGTAATCGTAGCCAAAAAAAATAAGTCTAGCTTCATATCACACAACCAAATAGAATATTTCTTAACGAGAACACTATAACAACTAATTGATCTGCTTATTATTGTTGTTTTTTCTTCCAGATGAAGAATGGTTGGGACCGCTAAAGGAACTCTCTAAAGCAAAGTTGTAGTAGGGTCATTTGACAATTTTACATTTGTAATTAAGATAATATGCCTGATGTGTTAGTGACGTCATATTTTCATCAATCGGGTAAACAATTTTATTGAATATATTGTGATTTGTATTAACAAATGTTTTTTCGTAGTTAATGATTTACATGATAAATGATTAACGCTATATACACTTTGTAAATGATTAAAGATATATTTTTGACAAACCTAGCTCTTTTTGTTGTTGTGTGCACAATATTAGTTGTTGAAAGTCCTTTATCTCTGAATATTTTACAGGCAGTCTTTGCTTTTTTTTTCGCTTAACAGTTAAGAACACCATGTTATATTTCAATTAAAGGCAGTATGTAATGTATATATGCAATGCCATTTTTCAAAGATTTGCCTGTTTCCCCCCTCCATTTAAGAGCAATGAAAACGAAAACCGCAAACAGGTTTGGATATAGATCGATAAAGCTGGATAAAATTAATCTTATCAAAATGGTTTTAGATAGTTAAAGCTTGAAAAAATTCATCTTGCTAATCATGGTTATAAATTGTATAGCTGGATAAAATTAATTTCACTAAAAAGTAAAAAAAAAAAAAAAAATTACAACTGTTCTTATAAGCGCTCTTGACGGTGTTTTGGCTTCGTTCATTATAAGCAGTTTAAAACACTGAACGTAAACAAAAACTGTGAAAGAAACAAAATCTGTTAAAGCAAACATTCAAAATGAAAATTAATTTGCAATATCTGCGATAACTGACAGAGCATAAAATTACAGAAAAAGTCCATACACTTGTATTGAAATATAGTTACGTATTTCAATATGGACATATTCTGCAAGTAAAGTTATCAAACAGTGAGTGAAGCAATGGCTTATACACTAATGTACCTTTGTCACCTGCGTCCAGAACGGAAGTCGCCAAGTAAATGGCTACATGTTCAAGATTTCGGGCATTTACCCAACACTGATAAAAAGTTCGCCCTCTCTTGTCAAGGTCTGTGATAAAGTTAATAAGTAAGAATGTATAGTAACGACAAGTCAATTTAGTCTTAATTTTAAAAAGAATATGAAAGTCGGGTTTGACTAGAAGTAATTCAGTATGAAACTAGAAAATGTTGGTGAAACATATATATGGTCCCACGTGGTGCTTGGTAAGGAACACTGTCAAAATATCTAAACATGCCATTTGATATCAAGGCATTGTTTGCACCATGTTACTTCAGCACAGTATGTTCTGAAAGATTTGTGTCACATCACACCAGCAAAGTTTGTTCTGAAAGAATCACAAAGTTCTGGACAATTAGTTAGAAAAATAACACATCGATGAAGTGTCAAGACATGGTATTGCATAGTTAAAATGAAACACTATGCCGCTTCATTAAAACTGTACTGTGTAAGACATGTGCTACTTGTATGCACACTTTGTGAAACACCTATGTCTTCATTGTGGTAATTATTTTTTGACTTTCAATTGTAGGTTAAAGGTCACACGATGAAAATATTTTGGTACCACCAGACAGTTCTTGTCCGAAGGAAATCACATGCCAATTATGACAACAATATCAAAATTAGAAGTTAGTCAATAGCTTGCTCCAAAACGCTACTATTTCTTACTTAATGTTTGAATGGATTTAAACCAAATGTGGTACGAAATACCATTGTTGGTGGGATGATCAAATCTTAAATTAAGATGTTTCGACACTTAGGGACTTGGGGCGGGGCCCCCCAAAAAACGGAAATTAGACAATATTTTGCTCCAATGCGCTACTCCTTCTTAATGCCTGGGCATATTTTAACCAAATTTGACCTGAAATACTACCCGGGAGGGCCAATGATATCAAACGTGCATGAAGTGATCCTGCGATTGTCCTGACCAAATCTTTTCTTTTCTTCTTTTTTTTTTTTTTTCCACTTTTGTCCAAACTCCATATTAGGTTTCGAGTTCGAAAGCTTGCTTTAAAGAATTCTGTCAGATATTGTTTATGTGAAGCCATCCACGAACATATAATTGTCACCGCCACAATAACATTTTGTATTCCTTTTGCAGTAATGGGTTCGCTAAAAAGGTAAAAATTGCTACTTGAAGCATAACATTGAAAATGTAAATTATATTTATATCGGTGAGTAGTTTAGATTATAGCGTTACAAATCTTTCAAGTTATAAAGAAATAGACTTTAAGCTTCGAGTATCTGTCAGTAAGGCAGAATATATAATCCATCATTTCGATTCGTATTGTTAGCGGATTCCTACTTTTAATAAACTTTATTTCATGCCTGCTTCGATGACAAGATGGCTGCATCCGGCCGCACTACGGTTGAGTTGTTTTATGATGTTGTTTCACCATATTCCTGGATCGCATTTGAGGTAAATTACGACAATGTGTTCTTTATCAAACATATTTTATTTATTTCTTTCTACTCAGTTATACACTATCAACGTATAACATGTACCCTGCCTATACATATCACAATGTAGTGGAGCCAAAGGGCGCTAAGTACGTTATGTACACCTGTATATTTACATAGTGATCTACAGTTATGTCTGTACCTGTACATTGTTTATTAGATGCACCAACTATCTCTCTACATCAGTAATTGTCAAACTGTACTTTATAGTCCCTCCACAACAATTATTTGCCTTGGCCCTCTGTGTTTGATGGTTGTTGATTTGTTGATTACGAATGTAATATATGAATATATTTTGTTTCTATTTTTATAATATGTTTCCTTTATGGCCATACAATCTCTGACGATCACTGATGTAGCCTAGTGAGTGACGATTGTTTGATAAGCACAGTATTACATATCGGCTATTTATGTAGACACACTTAGAAGGTCTATCAAAAACTACCTATCGACCTATATACTGTAACGACCTATCTTGTGTAATAAAAATTATATTTAGTCAAAGCAAATGAAATCAAACAAAAGCAGATGCTCGTTTTAACTTTCCATTTCAGCACTAACTAAACATATAAAATAATTTAAAATTAGTTTTGTTTTTATTAAATCGAAAGTTTCCAAATGAATATATCACTATAGCTGTTTCAGTAAGGTGTTTGTATCAGTCTTCATTGGTACAAAATGTATATGTACAGCTATCGATCAACAGATTGCACCCGACCCGTTAATTATAAAATTGACTGTCAACTTTATTATAATATTTCTCAGTATAATTATTATGATATTTAGCTTATTCAAACACAAACATTAAGATGTGTGTTGGGGTTGAAGTCAAAATTAGGGAACGGAGGTTTCCTGTGTGTTTTCAAAGGCTTTTTAATATGTGACAATATAAACACTATTTATGAACATGTACACTGTATGTGTCTCTGCATTCATAATGTCCACATGTGATATAGACTATAGCTGAAGACTCTTAATCTACATCTGCTGGGCTATAGAACAAACAGGTAAACTAACGATTGTGAAACACGTGTGCAACTTGATATCGCACAAAGAAATCGTATATTTCCCAATGAGACCATTTTGATGACCTTTAAACTTAATGTTTGTAGGAGGAATATTGATGAAAAGTCTAGACCATAAGTGTTGACAATTAACTTAAGTCCCTCCAATAATTGTACAACAGATATGGAAATTTTGAATAGCAAATTTTGATACAAATTAAGAATAAGATACAGTTAGGTTAGCTGAATCATGTAGCTGATTCGTCTAAGACTTGTCAGAAATGTCATTGACCTATATTTTAAAACCTATGAGGCGACTGAGGGAGGTACACAAGCCAAACCTCATGATTAAAAAAATCGAATTTTGTCATATATCCGATGATTTCAGAAGAACGTAAAGCAAATTTTTATCTGCTTTATACGGAAATACTTCACTGTATGTACCATTTCTAACAAGGATGTTTGATTAATGTTGCTATTGAAGTACATACATGTTCCTAACATCAGGATGGTTATTTGCAGGTGCTGTGTCGATATAAAGCAAAATGGAATATAGACTTGAAGTTAAAACCGTTTTTTCTCGGTGGAATAATGTCAGGAGCAGGTCTGTATAGTATTCAATATATAAGTATAAGCTCACAAATCAACCATTCAAAGATGCTGGCGATAAAGTTAGATTCACTTGTTTAGTATATACCTTAGTTTATCTACAAATAATTGGCAACATTCTGCGAGTCATGCCGTCTTAAAAACATGAGATACATCGCATATCTGTTCTGGTGTACAATACATCATTACAGGCCAACATTCAGGATTAAGAACTAAAATAAATTGTAATACATATGATACTTTAAGACTTTAAGGTTGTATATGTTTGTTATGTTAATAAATCTATGTATGTATATGTGTTCTCAAAAATTATGGAAAAATAGATGGTGATGATAATGACTTACATCAAAAGACATTTATGTGAACTACTAGCTAAAAATAAACATCCATTCGAATGGCACATGTGAAAATGAATTAATTGATAATAATGAAATTAAACTGTGAGTTTATAACAGCAAGTCTACAATGGTGAAAGACGTAAATGATATGGAAGTACACATAAAACACGCATGGAAAAGCAGAACAAGAATACGGAGACTCATTTACCTAAAATAAAAAAAAAAAAAAAAAAAATAAGAAAAGTATATTACTTTAGAAGACTTAAACGATCCCAAATTTGACGGAAAAACGTTCATGAAGTCCTGTGTTTCCCATAAGATTAACTTAAGTAGTGTATCGATAATCTTTAAAATTATGTATGAGAGGTAGAACATTGTATATGTGCAAATGTATGAATTTTTATAAATAGTGATTTCATTGGATGTTTAGGTAACAAACCGCCAGGTTTAGTGCCGGCGAAAGGAAAATACTTCAACAAGGATCTTTCTCGCTTGGGGAACTACTACAGTATACCAATAGTCCCTCCATCCGTGAGTACCACTTGTCTAGAGAAATTATAAGCAATTATGTAAATATTTATCGTAGCAGATAATTTTTCTTAAATGAGTGGCACTAGATATAATTCTTAATCCTTTTTACATGTCGGTGTAAATCGTTAGAATTTAGACTAATATTGCATGGACATTTACTATTTTGATAAAATTCTATTAGAAACAAATACAATGTATCAAGTTCTTGTTATAAAACGCCTTGTGATTTATGTATTTACATGCTTTTCAATCATTTTCTCAAGAGAATCAGAGTAATCAGTCCTTATCAATAACACAGCAATGGAAGTCTAGTATATAGAACTGTCTTTGCTGTCGTCTCTGTGTGTTTTTTTTGGCATTGAAATACTTTGATTCGCCGAGGGTTGTGAAGGTAGGCAACGTATCCAAAATATATTGATCAATATTGTTTACACAGCAAAGGCTCACAGCAATTAAAATATGCTATGCGTGCTCCCCTTTTTATGTCAGAGGTAGCGATATTTCTTGGGCAGTATGATTTAATGAAGAGCTTTCAAAAGTGGTAACAATATACCATTTGGATGTCTTAGCATGTTTTCAAAGTTGCATAAGGTAAAGGTAAAACAAAGTAAAAGAATACAAAGTTAAGAGATCAGTTATAATATATATTTTTATATAACTATGTGTTGGCTGTTTTCTTTGTGTGTTGTTGGCATTGAAAAACTATGACCATGTCCATCACATAAATCCACCAGAATTGGAAATTATGGACACGAGAGACTCTACTACATCGCCGCTTATATCGATCTTTTAATAGCATTCCATCAAACTGTATGTTAAGCTTAATGATTCCAACTTCCCTATTGTGAATTTTCCATTTCTGGATAGCAACATGTTTTCATTCTAGACCTATGGTGATTCAATGTCGCAGTTAATTCGATATTCAAGGACATTTTCCCATTATTACGATCTTCGCACAAGAAGTCGTCAACTGACGGACAAACTCGAAATCAGGGTTTCAATGATGCAGGTTGATGAAAATTATTGGAATCTCTATGAGAAATAACCTATTTCTTTGTGTGATATGCAGCTGGATGTATTTGATGCTTATTTGTTTGACTTGGTTCCGTTGTTGTATATCTTGTTCTGAATTGAGAACGTGACTTTATTGACTTGAATTGATCAAGATTTACAAAGCAGATGTCATCCATGTAGCAGAAGCCGCCTTCTTTCCCGGAACACATGATCTCTTATTTTTCTTGCACATTTGTGTAGGATTCTCCGTGTAGAAAAATGGTTATGAACGCATTACGAAAGCGGTGGTAAAAGACGAGCTATGAAGGATATGAAAGTCTGACTCATAACTGTTTGGATAATTTTCTTAATCATCGTCCTATTCATGTCGCCTCTTTAGACAAGTTTTGTTTAATTTACCTAGAATCCTCAAGAACTTATGTTTGTCAAAGGGACATTGATGCCACAACGATTTCTTACTGCTGTTGACCTGCAGCAGCCAGAACTAGTGGAGGATCTGTCCCGGCAGTTCTGGATAAGAGCATGGAGTAAGGTGAAATTTACTTTTCTCTTTTCTGAATCTATTTGATACTTATTTTGGAAGAATGAAATACATATTACGTCCGTTTAAAAAGAGGTTTATTCTAGGGCTAACACAGTTGAGCACACATTGTAATTATAGTGTTACTTTTTTGTCGCAAGTATGTCTTATTATACTGATATGAATTTTATTTTATATGAATGCTATGTGTCTATATTTTGAAGCCAAAGAGGCGACTGAGAAAAGCTCCAACGTAATCGAAAGAAAAGTCAAAATCTAATTTGGAAGCTTCACTAGCCCATAATTAAAAAAAAAATCGTATCATATAGCAAAGAACCCTAGGGCAGCGCTAAGTACATGTGAAAATTCTTCTGCAGACAGTTTTGTCTCCATATTTATGCCTACAGTGGTACGTAGTTCACGAACAATTCTGTTTCTACTGTGATAAAATAATGCAAGACGTTATTTGGAAAATATTGATAAAAGGATGTTCAACATCAGAATACTCTGTGCTGATTTAATTGGCATGAGTTTCCCCTTCCACTTTGCTAAGCAGTGGTGTTACACCGCGTCAACGTTATATCTGTTTCTTTCAAGGATTACATACCTGTGAAAAGATACATCATTTTTACCTCGATATAACAGGAGTATATTTTATTGCATTAACGGTTGGTATCGGCATCAAATAATTTAAGACGAGAACATAATTCACACGAATGTAAAAAAATATTATGATTTGCTGTCTTGTATTCTAGGATCAAGGAATTGCTGATGAGGAGGATATACGAGAGGTATATAGTAGCCTTAGTCACTGAATTGTTTTGTTTAAATATTCCGTTTGTGATACCAGATCCAAACGTCTTTATTTAAATTTTTACCATGCATGTTGTATGTAATTTCGTTTTTTAAACATTTCATCAGGTTCCCAAGTTTTCAATCCCCATTCATTAACTGTTGAAGGAATACTTGATAACTTTAACCTGGGCAATCTGATCAAACCTTCTCCCATTTTGGCAGACTTGTAAAGACATAGGATTCCCCAGCGACCTCATGGAAGATTGCCTGCAGAAGATGAAGGGCGAGAGAGTAAAAAATAGACTGAAGCAGTTCACAACAGAAGCCCTGAACTTAGGAGTAAGCAAGAATAACACAATATACTTAATCAGTAAACCATTATCTAATATGTTGGTATGCAAAAAGTAACATATATACATCCAAGATGAGATGATGTGAAATAAGTACGATTATCTTCTAAACATTACACATAATATCCATTGAATTTATGGTGAATTGTTGGAAAGTACACTAGGTAGTGACAATGTCTTTGTCAATGTCGGTTCTATTATTACAAGATAAAATATTGGGTCATTTGCTCGACAGAGTAGGTTTTTTCTCTGTAATTTTCAAACCAGATTCGGAAAATGCATCCGTCCTGTCCGGGCCATAAATAGTTATATAATTCAATAATGATTGGGTACCCAGTTTTAGTCGGATTATTTAGCATTTTTCACATTCTATCATGCCAGAACAATGACTCCCATTCGAGTTTGATAAATGTTATATCATATTGACACGAGTGTTAGATAATATTTACTCCTTTATCCATCTTTACATAAGAAAGAAAGTAAAAACTCTCAAGGATGATTTTTATTCTTTATACAGACGAGTTTCGATCCGAATAGTACGTTTCATTCGCCATCTATATCATTCATTTATAACGTCATAATAGTTTCATAAAACTGTAATATACGATATTTGATTTACCTGTAGGTGCATTATACAGCAAACCAGATTAAGGGTTAAAAACCAAATATGGTGATCTGCAACACATAGCTTTTAAAATATAATTTTTATTTATCTCGTGGTCAAAATTGATGTTGGCACCGATCTTCGGCGTAACTAATAGCACCTGATATGAAAGAATTGTCAATGCTGGAATAAACATAATAACGCTTTCATTATGTGTATTGTAAATCTATAAGACTCGCTTTTAATCGATGTCACTGTAAACTAAGTAAAGATGTTGATTCCATTTAATTAATAATCTTCAAATTTAAACATTCCTGTATAATAAAATAAAAAAAAAAAAACAAAAACAAAAAAATGAATTCTGTGATCCAGCTATTAATAATATACGGCTTTTAAATGGTGTTTTACATTTTTGTTATCACTGTAGATATTATTAAATGGTGTTTTACATTTTTGTTGTCACTGTAGATATTATTAAATGGTGTTTTACATTTTTGTTATCACTGTAGATATTATCAAATGGTGTTTTACATTTCTGTTATCACTGTAGATATTATTAGAATTAATAATTTCGTGAAGTATGTGTTAATTATTTTGTTGCAGGCTTTTGGGGCTCCTACTATTGTGACCTATGTTAACAACGAACGTGAAATGATCTTCGGATCCGACAGATTTCCGATATTAGCTGATATGTTAAGTAAGTCATTAAACCATAACACAGGAAACAGATAAGCGATCCTAGTCACAATTTAAGAAGTACTGAAACAATTAAAGAAATATGTTTCTTATATATATATATATATATGGCTTGATAGATTTTGTCATATTTGAAGTAAAGCACTACTTGGCTAAGATACAGTGTAACTAAATTTAATATGGGAGTTTCAGCATTTCTATTGGCTGAACGACTTTATACATTTTGGGAAATAACTATAAATCGTTCCATTAATTGCTGAAGTAGATATACGCATTAACGTAATTTGGTACCAGGTAATACTCGAGAGAAAGTTAAATTTTACTTTAGACTCTACAAGGGTATGTGTTGATGGCAAGTTTAAAAGTTCATTGGAATGATGGTTAAATATATCTTATGAAGTTTTAGCGTATTGGCAGAAACGTTTATACTTATTTCACCGATATCATAGAATATGTTATGTTCATATGAGTTCATATAACAACCAATGTTATCATTGCGTTTTGGATTTCAGACGAGGAGTGGATGGGACCGCTTACAGAGCTGTCGAAGGCAAAATTGTAGTAATAAAAGTTGATAGATTGCATTCTGTATTTTCAATTGGACAAAGTAATTTTACACAAAAAAGATATAGCTTGTGATTTAGAACGTACATTACATATAGGTGAATAAAGTGTTGAATAACGAGTAAAGAATATAAAAACATAAAATAATATGCTTCTTGATGTGTTTGTGGATTTGTAATGATTCTTTAAAAATCAGATATTACTATTCAAGTTTTTTTTTAAAAAAAAATTTCTTAGCTTCACGGAATATAGCTTAGTGTTTGAATTTGTTTTTCTCGCATACATATATCGTCACTTGGATAACCTTTGATGCTCTTTAAATATGCATGCTTGAAAAATATGACTACGCATTGTGCGTTTAAGAGTAAATACTTGTAAGCTTTGTTTTGATGTAAAATTACGGTATAGTGTGTTCAGTGAACACCAATTACAACAGAACACGAATGCATTACTGCTACTTTTTCTGTTTATTTCTCTCATTCATAATTTAAAAAGCACTTGTTTAATATCGCGGCATACACAGGCAACTTAACAATTGCTTCAGAGCTGTTACATACACTTTCTAGTAAGACCACATTTCACCTCCTAAAACACAACTTACATTTATACCTAATAAAATACGAAAAGTACATAATTTCTTTATAAACTATTAACTATTACATAATAGAAAATTCCAATCACATTCAAACATTCTACTACAAAGATGCATCAAATATGTACAATGCAGTTACTTGTAAACCTTTCAGGCAGTATTGATATCAATCTTATTATAAATGCCAGTTTTTGCGATAGGTTCATCCATATCGAAAACTAAATAAAGCCATGTCAACTGATAAACATGTATTGGCGTATACATAACCAGGATATGATATACATATTTGGCATTGCAATGCTCCATACATCACTTAAATAGGATTTGTTTACTGAAAGGGAAGTAACTTCTTAATCTTAATGATATTGGAAACAAATGGGGTTAAAAGGACAGATAAATTAAAAAAAAAACGAATTATGCAAGTTTAACAATCAAATAAATTGAAAAAAAATATATCAATTTAAGAATAATTCAATCTCTATGTAAGTGATACGAGCAAAACGACAATATCGCATCCAACACAGTTCATAATACAAATATTTGCTTTAAAATGTAGCAAAATTACTACTTGAAATGGACATTCATGAAATCATTATAACACAAGAGAGTACATCAAGTTCTTTTGAAAACGCATTTGGATGCAGTGCAAAAATGTGAACGGACAAAAAATGATCGGGTAGATATAAATATTACGAAGCAGATTGCTTACAGTTTTTCCACATTCTGAGAATTCAACGCCTATTATGTTAATATGTCTTATTATGAAATAGACAGAATTCTTATTGGTGGAATTACCGGATTCAAGTGCTTATTTGATGTTGAAAATCGAGATGATGAGTCAGTGTGCACCAATGATGTGTTATTTTGAATATATGTCAGTATGATGTAAAATTGTTGTTTAAAGCGAATCTGGCTGCTCACTCGCGCTCATTTGTTCTTGATAATTGCTCTAGCCAGATTACAAAATGGTTTCTCGAAGGCAACGGCGACCAGAAAAGCAAGACCAAACGACAACACGGTGCTTCCAATGAATAAGTATGTCTGTAGAAGAAAAAACAAGTGATATCTAAATACAATCTTTTTTTAAACTTTATTTTCCACGTATCTTCTAAAATGAAGTTTTCCAATAAAATATACTCCTTTCAAAACTGTATTTATAAAATGTATATCTTATGCAGCATGGTATGTATACGTGGAAGGTATATTTCCATTAAAATGTCTCGATATTGCATGACTAACTCTGACAGTAAACATAGAGATCGCTTACCATGCCGAAGTCATTAAGGAGATAGATTAGTGATCGGCTACTGTACATGTAGAAAACTATCCAAATTGGGTGAACAAGGTACACAGCAAACGTCAAGCGAGAGAGTGGAAGGAATCCAGGCCAAGACAGAAAAGAATTTATCAGACCTGGAATAAAAGGGGAAATAATTTGAAACATTAAACCGTTTCTAAATCACAATCACTAATGGTTATCAATTAAAATATTGCTTTATTCCCGTTTTTGAAAACGTGCTTTCTACACTTTTTATGCTGCTCCAACATAATTGCAAGGGCATACAGTGCTGTCATTTGCTAAATTCTTCATGACAAACGTCACGCTCTTCGTCGCATACAGGCATTTAATTGAAAAAAATGCTTTTATACCGAATTTTAAATTAAACTTCATTTATCAGCTGTTTCATCCAAGGATCATCAAATGAAGAGTCATAATCGTGAAACCTAAGAGGCGATTAAGGAAAATCAAATGAGGTCACACAAATATCTATATCTAGACGGCGAGGTGCACAAATCCCATACTTCAATTTTCAAATATTGGATGATTTCAAGAGAATATTAAGTATTTGTGTAAGTTCTTCCCAATGCCACTATTCAATTGAATCAAACCGTTACGTGTCTCGTGAATCATTGTTTACCAGCATTTTTTTCAGAAATATTCAGTTTCCGCTCATTTTCAAGAAAACTCAGTTTACTCCCCAAACCAGTGAAGTTGTCATCCTTAGTAAACATTAATATTTATCTTTTAAAACCCATGAACACTTTAAAGTTGTTTACCTTCATTGGTTGTCGGTGGATATTTCCACATACATTTTTGTACAGAATGCTTGATTAGTCACGTTCAGTCTCGTTTAGTCTCTCTAATCATTAATTACCAATCGTTATCATTAAGAGTAGAAATTTCAGAAATGGATGGTTGTTTTTCTTTACCAATTTAAGACAACTGGAAAATGGATCGAAGAAATCGAATAAAATATTGAATAATATAATTTTAAAATGGAATAATAAAGTAATTACATTCGCATGTCTAGCATGCCTCGTTCAATATCATTCAACTGACATCTTCATAATTAATTAGCATAATGTTTTAGCTTACCGCCTCGTCCGGTAAAGCAGGCAAATATGACCCATGCAACACAGAAACACCATAATGGTCTTCCAAGAGCCTCATAAGCCGATTCCATATTTCTGTTCCATTCCCCAAGTTCTGGGCGGTATTTGGTGTAATTTATGTAGACAACAAATATTCCTATCACTATAGCACTCAACCAACCAATAATCGCACTCCACTGGAAATAAATAACGTTGTAGATATTAGTTACTAAACAAATTGTTGTGATTTACAAACATAATCCATAAAAAGATACCGAAAATCTTTTACAGGTAATGCGCACCAATATTATAGAAAGACTTCTACGTTTTATTGGACTGATTTTTACACAAAAACGGTTATCGTAAAAAGTAAATAGTAAATTTCCATGGCGATCTGTGCAAAAATTACAAGGAGAATAAAACCAGGTGGAAGTATTGATAGCATGTGTCTCGTTTATTCTTGCAATCTCAGTAATGCCACGTTCTAGTAAATAGAGCTGGGGAGTACAAACATATCAAGGAATGTATATCGTGATTTTCTAGATATGCAATAACCCCCTTTTCTTCATAAGCTTTTCAAAATATCATACATCGAAGTATTAATCGACAATGCAATACATAAAAGGACAAGATAATGCATCGTCGCAATTTTAAATAGATCAATCAACGATGTATTCAGTTGTTAAATTTACCCAGAAATGGGAACTATAATAATGATCGCTACAGATTACATACCAATGGTAACCTTTTGGTTCCACGTTCTTCGTACTTTGTGTTGCCATTCCCGCCTTTGCACTTCATGAGAGCTAGACCAAGCATCATCCCGATACAGTAGGAGGACACCCGACACCACGGAGCAATAAACACATTGTTCCAGTAGTCTCCATTATCTTCTATCATTCTGGAGGAGAAGATTTACGATATTACTTATATCAAAACGTTTACATGAACGTTTTACATGTGTGCCTATACCTAAGCTTATTCTATACTAATATATTACTTTATCACACAAACTGCAGCTGTGTCATTTTTTTTCATGGGGAGTTCAGTTGTTGCAATTTCCTAAATTAAAAATTACATGTTTGTATGTTTTGGAATAACACATATCAACTGTAATGGACTTCGTTCTTAATTGATTAACACAGTGTACACACTGTAAACAAACAAAAGGTAAACTAAAAAAAGACTAAGAAAATATTGTATAGCATGTAGTTAGGCAATATAATCATATCTATATATTGGTATTAGTCATTCCCTGATTGTTTTCACATGCTAGTTGTTGATGTTGTCACATGCCTTTTGCACTATGAAATGTATATTCCATATTCTGAAGACATGTATCTCTGATTTGTTTTGATGTGATCAAATTATTTGCAGAAAATTTGCATCAAAATTACATTACAAAAGTAGCTATACATAACTCTTTTCCACAAAAAGGAATGTACATGTAGGTATAACTGGAGACTACCAGTATCCAAAATAAGACTAGGGAATGTATAGCGTGCTCTAAGGTAACTACATATTAGATGATAAATGCTTAAATGAGACGACAAATGACTATATGACTTCATATCGCATGCCAGGTTGTTCAGTTACTTACGATAAAAGGTCCCCTCCATATTTATGCTCCTTTACCCCTGTTGAAGTGATACCAGCTGCCATCAACAAGAACAAAACCACCCCAGCTAAACGATAAGAACTGTAAAGAAATTATGATTGTCAAAACTTGTGAATAGAATGAAGCAATATATTTCAAACAATACTACATGCTGTATGACAATGCTAATGAAATTGAATTACAATGAGAATTTAAAAAAGTCTTACGATAATGAAAATATTAGTGATGAAACAGGCATATCTATATGGGAATAGTGGTATTCCCATTATTCGCTTTTCTATTTAATACAGGTCCAGATAGCTACACATCGTCATCGTCATCGTCATCATCATCGTCATTTCCATCTCAACACCGTCCTTACGTAGACTCTTTTTGAGTTTCTGTGTGGTAGTTTCTTAAACCATTATGATGAAGATTGTTTTCACCATTATTTGCATTTTTTGTAGTTCCTGTTTTTTTAGTTTTATATTTGAATCTATAATTCCTCGTATTTTTTCTCACTGATATTGTTTGCTGGTCGTATGTTGTACTTATTTGGAAACATGAAATTACTGACTTTGTTTGACTTAAAATTACCTAGTCTTGGTTCCCTTGAATCGCTTTTATGTGTCGCCTTATGAATCTTTCATTATTTAATACTTTGTCCACTTTTCAGCTTGAAATAAGAAATGTCGCTTTTTTCTTGGTCTAGTGTGTTGATATAGTGGTAACTACTCTCACTGTGTTTTTGTCATTGGGGTAATTGCTTGTTTATTTGTTGTGATTATTAAATATGTTGTCATTGTATGCTGGTTCAAATTCACATCCCATTGTCTGTTGTCGTATTTCTTTATTTTGTCATCTAGTCTAATTATCGGGTTATTGTTTTTAAAGGGCAATCCCCTCCATCTATTTCCTCTTATTTCATCGATTTTGCGTTGCGATCGTGTTAACATGTCGATATTATCTTGTTACATACTATATATAATGGTGTACTCAAAGTAAAGCTATGAACATCCTATTTGTAAGTATTTTACTTTTATGAGGTCGCGACATTATTTCGTGGATAAATAGTACTTAAAGGACTAAAAGTTGATGCTATTTTTTCTCTTTTTCATTTTTTTCCCAGTTTATTAAATCATGAATATGACCAGTACGTATATGTACGAAATAACCGAAATTAGACTCTGTGAATATGACTATTTTACAGTATACACAAACATGAAAATGATTTGATCTTGATCAATATACTTACAAGGATGCCATCAGTAGCAGTATTGGTGTAATCAAATAAAACTGCATCAGGAGGGCGAGGAAAAAGGACCAAGTCATACACTGGAACACAGAAATACATAAGATTTGTTGAGAAAAATATTCACTTGTACTAATTTCTGTTTGGAAGCCTCAATAACCTCAATATACATATTTAATTATTACACAGATATTATTTGAATGAGGATGTCGATAAACAGATATGCATTAAATACAAAACACTGTAGACGATAAATAGGAACAAAGTAACACAGATTCGTTATTTATTTTTTTAGCATTCAGAAATTTGAAAATTAGCTTTTGTATGGTTTTCATGCGAAGTAGAACATATCATGTTATGGTTTTCCATTTTCATTTTAATCCGTATCCTACATACCGAAAGCCAAACACAGATTCTTAATAAAGTGCATTTGTTTTAATAACGATTTAAAAATTTGAATTTCCAAATAAAGTTTAGAATAATTATTTGTTTTTGCTAGAATGCCTAATATACTTGTAACATTTGATGGCTTACATATCCATTTGGTGCAGTTTATGCCTGAATGTTTCGATATCAGTACCTTTATATATTTTGAAAACTTGACAACAAGGCTATGATCGACCTCTTTTGTAAAACTTTTGTACTGTTATATAATACACTACATTAATGTTACAAAAATTGCCAAACACGTTTCTCCAACAAATCATATCAATCACTGCTGGATGGAAGTACGTAAGAGTATGACTAGCGAAACTCTGTCTCAGAGTTTGAAATAACCATGCAGTGTTCAGCCAGGTAGGGACATGAAATAATCTCAAAACATCGGTGCGTTACGTAATCTATAAATACATCGCTTAAATACATATAGATTGCTTAATAAGTAAGCAATTTATCTTCAGAACATAAATAAAGCCTATATCACACTCATTCATATGTCGTTTCCATATCATTAAGTGCATCATACGCACATAACACATCGTGTAACGTAGTTAGTTGTTGATGATAGGTGTAATCGACAAAGTAAAAAACGCTCACTGTTATGGAGCACTAGATCCGTGTTATTTTTTTCCTTTTATTCGATTTTTTTTATTTCTTTTTGCCGTTTTATCGATTAAGAATTACAATTGTGTTACTTACTACTTAAAGCAGCAGCAATATTCGAATAATGTTATTTTTAAAGCTTATGTTTATATTCATGTTAATATTATAACGATTAAATGGCGGATAAAAATGACATGTTGTTTCCTTTCAATATTTTTCATTAAGTTGAAATAATTTATGTAAAAGTCATACCAGAATGAAAATAGATAATGGATGTCATACGTTCTCACCTGATGGAATGCGTCGTTGCCCTGGATACCAATGAGATTGTTGATATAGAGGAGGTGGTGCCACCAGTCAGTTCGGCACTTGTCAGCTACGTCTATATGATCAGGCCAATGGGGTCCTGTACCCAAGTATTCATACCAGTATACAAATATCACCAACACCATGATGTAAGCTGGGGTCAATCTGAAACATTATGTATATATTTAATATAATCTTGTTATCATTTGAGAAAAGGAACATTATTTACTTAAATCGACCACGATTTACAGATGTCTTCGATGAAGCAGAATACGCTCACTCTTCCCGAACACCTTACTATTATGATATTATTCCCCTTATACTTTTTCAAGGGTCACTGTAAAAATCTAAATTTTAAGAGATTAAAAGAATCTTAACATTTTGATTTTATTGAACTATAGTTTGCCTTTCAGACGTACACTGGACTTGTACGATAGTCAGACGTAAGGTACAAACACTTAATTTGTACACTTACGCGTCTTACAGTCCGAAGTCGCACACTTGTACACTAACGTGACATATACAGTCCGACCAATTACAGTGCTTCTAACCCATAGTGTAATACCTCATTCGACAAAAAAAACATCTTTTCATACCGATATCAGTCAGGAACACCAGCATGAGTGATTAACGTTATGTAATCAATAGATTCAGCCATTCCCACGATAGTCCCCTATAGTGCAAATATACCATTAAATTTATGGTTTTCTAAAGGGCAATGATGGATCTTTTATCATTTGGTTTTAGCCCTTGTGTATACGCACCTGATATAACGATGAAAAATGAAACCAAGAAGAGTTTTCCATTTGAACTTTTTGAACCTCTCAAATTTGGACAAAACGCTGTACGTAGCGAGGCAGCCACTGTTGAAAATTCAAAGTGAAACTAGAGTACATACATTCACACATACATACATACATATATAATAGGGATTTAAGCCAGTTGTCATACTTCTATTATACTATTATATCTTTTAATGACAATTTCAGTTAAGTAGGTGTATACAGTGAATGGTACTGTGATATATTTACCCCACTTCCAAGTTTTTATACTTCCAAAATGTTTGACCCTGTCTTGTTACCGTATATTGCATAACGCAGATTCAATGCTCAGTGTATCCTTAATGAAGAACCTTGTGCTTTGAATGAGTTTATGCTTCCGTTAAGAAATAAATAAAATGATTGGTTTTGTGGTTTTTACTGCAGAGACTTTGGAAGGCTTATTAACAATAAACAAGCATTTCCCAGTCTCCTAACGATAAAATATATGGTGATCATATTCATACAGTGAGTTGGCATTTTTGACCATCATTTTCTGCCTACCTGATCAAGAGGAACGTATCGATGCCGTAGTGAGCGCCCATGACCGCTTGGAAGGTAAACCTTTTCATTATGTCTAACGCATCTAGCATATCCACTGAAACACGTACGGAATTATTTATCTGTATTACCGTTATACCCAGTTAAAGCAATATTGAATTTTCCAACGTTACAATGCAATATTCTTATCAGGGAATTTACTTGTACTGTAAGCGAATTGTTATATACTATCGTATTTTTTATATATTTATTGATTATTGACCAATCAACATTTTTAAAGTTAGGAACTAGAAAATGACTTTTGGCAATAGGTGTAGCTTAATATTGTTAAATAAAGGTGTTTTTTTTTTAAAAAATAAATTAGCGGAAATTATTGTTACAATGCACATAATCCCATGATGTCAATTAATTGTACAGTGCTTGATAGTACCCTTTTAATATATAGATACTTTACATGTGAAGGTGAAAACGCTGTAAATATATGCATTCGATGACTAAAAAGCCAAGGCAAAAAAAAAACAAAAAAACAAAAAAACTTACCAGCCAAGGTACTATCGGTGACAGGTAGGATATTGTAAATATATGTATTTCCTAACATAATCCACAGAATGCTTAGTGTGCGTATCCCGTGTATGCAGTGAATAGCATTAGATAATCTTCTGTAAGACATTAACTGTCGAATATTTTGTAGAGCTGAGAAGCTTATTACTATGCGTTTTCCAAGATCTAGAAGAAAGATGAATGTTATAAGTTATTATTATCTATATATTATACGATATAAAAGACAAGAAACTATAGTTAGGAAATTGTCATTGTGTTAAAATAAGTGGAAATAATGAATTGCAGTATCTCGTGAATACGTCAAGTATTCGCCCCAATTGTTCGAAAATTTAAGTTTGACACATCAAACAAATATAAAAAAATATTTCCATATCATTGTTCGATTGAAGTATTATTGATATATATTAGGACGGTGATTTCTTTGCATGTTACTCATTGTTTTCTGTTCAGGTCGTGCAAGTTTTTCAACAACTTCAGTTTAAATGTCAGAAAACAGATACAGTTTAGAAATTTTATTTACCCGGTGTTTTAGTAAAATGTAGAGAGTTCATGTCATCGTAATGATTGTCCTGATGATCTGTGGTTTTCTTTGTCTCTGTCTTTATTTTAAGTGTTGTTGCTTCAGAGATCAAATCCTCTTTCGTGGAAACATTGCTGAAAGACGTGGTGGTCGTGTTGGTTGTTGTGGTTGTCTTCGAGTCTGTGTCTTTATCAGCTGAATCTGGTGATTCGTACGCGTCGTAACCATGGTTAGTGTAATCTTCGTACAATCGTATCTCATTCCTTCTGTTGCTGGACTGGTCCTTATCCCATTTACAAATATGGATGATGGTTGCTATTATTACTAGCAATATAATCGCTGCAACGATCGCCCTGTAAATAATATATCGAATCATGTTTCATTGAGGATGATTCTATTTCTTTGTGCTACATGAAGCTGGACGTATTGACGTATTTGATGCTAATTAATTTGCCTGTTGGTTCTGTTGTTGTATACCTCGTTCTCATTTGAGGAAGTGTCATTACTTACTTGGATTGAAGTGTAAATATTTCTTTTGTTCATATTTTGTCCTAGTGTTTTGGAATTTGAGAATGAATTATGATTATGCAGTCATTTTACTAAATCGTCTTTATCTACAGGGTTTTCAACAGTACGAAGGTCTTATGAAGACTGAGTTGTAACGGAAATAGTTCAATTAACATTTCAGTATTGAAATCTTTTATCCGGTTACCATTTGATCTTTATAACAACAAGTGGTTTGCTGCCAATGGTGGCAAAATGGTTTGTTGTCAATATCAAATCCAAAGGAATAGTTAAATTGATGAAGTCATAATAATATCTATTATCATGGATTTCAATAGTTATGTAAAACAAGAAATATGATGTTTAAATGGTCCATTTACTTACAAGACTAAGATTGCGTCTTGGTCAGTGGCTAGATCAAGTGATTTTAAACTCGTCACACTCAATGGTGATATGTTGAGTCCAGCTACTAATCCTGAGGATATACAAAAATATAATACGGTATCACATAAACAGGGATTTTACAGATAGTTCGTATCGTTATGTACGTCCATTTCAAATACTCCACAGGTCCGACGTACAAGATGTTTGCAATGCTGACATGAAATGTAGTATAGTAACATTTAGTTACTTACGTCTGTGAATTAATTCTAATTCAATATACAAGTGGACATCGTATCAATAGCAGTAACAATGATTAATTCAGATTAAATTAGGGTTCTTAAAAATCACCAGTAAATACATTTCTTTCCAAGTACAATGTGACTCTTTCATAAAGATATGCAAATAAATAGAATACATTTTCTTTTCAATTTATGTTTCGTTGGTAAAATCCGACGTTCTTACCAGTTTCAAAGAAATCGATCACATCTTGTTGGGTGCAGCTATCTGGGAGGCAAACGCCGAGGCTTAGAGTAGTCTTCATGCCATACAGTTTCTGTAATAAGGAACCTATTTGCATGGATTTTTTTTCAAAATCAGTTGGTCATATAGCCATAATAGCCAATGACAGAAAGGAAGATCAATCTAGTACCCACAGACAACAGTGTGTTAAATCAGATTGTCAAAACAGAATTTAGCAATGGTCTTTCTCTTCTGTATGTAGAATTACGGACGAAAATACTTTAAGAATTAGGATTCCTGAAATATAAATAAAAAAAGTATTGTCTGAATTCTGCTTATGGCAAATGACTAGAATACATTGTATACAGAATACGTTGTATAATTGTAAAATATTCATTGTTGAATTATAACAGATAGACTGAGCCAGAGGACAGATACCCTGATATAACCTATATTATTTATCAGAGTTATGCCCCTTCTGTCAGTTTGAACCTTCAGTATTTACCTGTGTTGCAAGACTTGGTACCAATGTAATAAGCAAGGATTTCGGGAGATCAAATGCGATCCGAAAATAACGGCCACTAAAGGACCTGGTAGTGTTGTCTGCGGAAGTGATCTTAGCCTGTACGGCCAGACACTCGTCATAATTCCCCAACATATGTAGGCTGCCTCTCAGAAGTCCTGCTGTTGGTTTGCCAGCCGCATCAAGCACTGCAGAATATAAGTATGACAAAGTGAGATGTACACTGTAATCAACTTCGACATCAAATATACAATAGTGTTTTTTTTTTCTCAGAACATTTCCAATGTGGTTATCTAATCAAGGCCATGTGATAAGAATGATCAATGGTGACGTTTTGAGTCTGATATTATTATGATTAATAAATATATAATGGTAATTACTTCAGTTCTAACGTGAGTTCTAAGCTGAAGAATAACAGCATTGGTGCTAATAGGATGTATATGTATAGTTTTGTGACACTACCTATTTAAGTACTAGATTTTCCAAATTTAATATCGAGTAATACTTTAAAAAACAAACAAACAAACAAACAAACAAAAAAGCATAAAAAAGCCCAAAAAACAAAAGAAAAAAAAAAAAAAAAGAAAAAAAGGAAAATAAATATTTGAAAGTTCTACATTTATGATTGAAGATTAAACTGGGATATTAGCGAAACGTAAGTTCTATATTTTTTACTATTATTTTAAAAGATATTTTCCTTTTGTGCTTGTCATGTCGAAAGGATGTCTAAATTCAATTATTATATAGGTAATGTTGATGTAATATTTATTAAGTAGAGCAGGAGTGAACATCGGCCATTTCATTATAGTGTCGATTTGTCACATTTCCTGTTTCCCATACTTTATCCCTTAGCTACGGAGGGCTGGAAGTGCATCACATCCACCAGGTAGAGATAATCTGTTATATCAGTGTAAGTCGCCGCTCAATTTCTTATCTTTTCATTACACATACATGTAGCATACTATGACATATTGTATATACAGCAGCATCGTTTAGAATAGTGAGGGCACATTACCAGAAGTTACATCGGCTATCTCATGCACTGAATAAATGTGAAGAGACTGCAATGTTTTGAAAAATCATCAGGTGCCGACATGACCCACTTCCCTATTTCAGAACCCTGTGAACCCATTTTCTTCGAAATTCTGGCTCCATTATAGGGACACTTTGAGAAAATTGCTCTGAGATACCACGAAATCCTTACATTCCCATTTTCGCATTTACTTGGGCATTCCATTTGTGATACCATGACTTTTATACACATTCTACAGTACAGATGAAGGTGCTAGTATAATGCAGGATACTGTGACACACATTTCCCAAGATCTATACCTTTGTGACCCAAATATAACGGGACAAAAAAGTCTTTATAAACAGAAAATCCTATGTAATATCAGATGTTTTTATACTATAACAAATAGTATAAAAATAGTTTTATTGATAAAATCCAGCATAAGCCCCATTTCTACGTGATCTGGCAACACTAGCTAACTCAGTATTATGTAATACAGTAGGACAACGGTCCCCCAGGAACTGATAAGAGTATTTACTACATCGTTTAAAGCTCGACATTTATTCTAGCCCTCAGACATTTAAAATGTCTTTGAACTTGGCGATATCGCAGCCTATTGAAGTGCCAACAAGTATTTTGACGTTGATGTATAGGGACCGCAAAAGCAATAGTGCGACGGTTAGTAATATAAGAACTCTGACTGCATCCTGTTATAAAACCTTGTTTTACCAAGCATACAGCAATGTTGTTTAAATAGCCAACGGTACTGTTCTTCGATTGATATTAATCGAATCGTTTGGTGTGTGAAGACATTAAAGGTGATACTGATTTATAAGATGGTCAAGGTTGAGGTGAATGAAGTTTGAGTTATCATCAACTGATATCAAATCTAATCTTTAAGGCTAGGTTAGGGCTATATATCTACAGGGATATCGGGAGTTCAGAACAAAGACTGGCATAAAGTTCTACATTTAGAACGAAAATGTTTACATACTGTGTAACATGCTCTGTCATACATTGTAACTATTTACTTTTGTACAGCAAACTTTGGTGGATACATCTGACATATTAATAAATACAATGAATATGAGTGTATTTACCAGTCAAAACACGTTGGGAAATTGCGCAGTAAATACTGATTTTCTAATCAAGCACGAAAAACGGACTCATAGATATTGTTATCTGGATCACTGGACCACAATTATCATTGATAAAATAAAACAAATAACGACCTAGATTTGTTGATAAACGTTTTTATTAACGATGAGCCTGGTGATGATAAGTTCTGTTATACGTCCTATCGTGTTGTTATGTGTAACACTTTCTGCTGTTTTAGATGCCTATTAGAAGTTAGTAAATCTAATTGGATTAAATTAGTGTCAGAATTTATTATGATATGCAAAGAAATTGGAAATTAAAAATGCTCTATTGATGAACCGGTATATATATTTGCAGAGGTGAAAATTGTTGCTCTAGTGGGTCTATAATTGGTCTATCATAATTGCAATCGATATTGAATTGATTTTTTTTGTAATAAATAACTATTCCATTAGTGGTAGGTATATATGGATATCTTTCTTACTGTTCTTGTACAAGATAGAAATCTGTATACTTTTAAGATTGAAACACATTAAACTACAGTTGTTAAAGAAAGTTGTTTTATATTTTTTTTTGTGTGTGTTTTTTTTTTGCTTTAGCGTAGATTAGATATTTTCGATCATTAATAAGATTTACCATATAATATAATTTCAAACCTTTTCAATATTGCAAGCAAAATCGTGAGCAAAACTGGTCATATTCTGTTCTTCAGCAAAACTGGTTTGCTTTCACAAGGTTAAAATGTGAGACAGAAATTGAATAACAAAGTAAAATGTATGTCATACCCGAAAATTCAGAACGTCAGTATCTGTTGTTATGATAACGCAGAGAGATAGTTATATAAACGTGTCCGATATATTTACTGTACAACTGTACTTAATATTTAGCGTATTAAGTTCTAATCTGTTAACGCTTCATGAAGATATGCGCGTAATATCCTGTGTAAACTCCGCATTCCTCCTTATTACTGAAATTTTATTATATATGTAGCACACTTATTGACGCCATAACAGGGCACAAACATGATTAAAATTATCTAAATAAAATAAATAAATGACGCTTAATTTGCGGAGGAGACATTTTAGTGACTTTAAAAATGATTGATTTCATCAGAAATTTTATCTTTTCAGAGTCATTTTATTTCAGTACGTTTCCCAATGTTTATGAAGGAGTACTTTTCTAAAGAGATATTAATGCAACATGCATGCAATATGGCTAGAAAACAAATGTTTTGACCATATAAGGAACAATATTCTATTGTAAAGCAGGAAATACTTTACAGACAAAAAAATCTACCTGAGCATTTTTTCTTTTATCAAAAATGCACGAGTCCATTATACGATGATATGAATACCATTGAAACAATTCACAATAACATTTTGCAGACGCTTTGAATTTTAACAGTTAAAAATAAGTATTTTATTCTTTTATCATTGATTTTGAGAGCCCTTCAACATTACAGAGGACTTGTTATTGCACTTACGAGCTGCGATTTTGAAGGTCATACCTATTGTCTTATTCATAAATGATGTAAGTATATCTAAGATATGTCTGTCTTCTATCAACACACGTCTGGCGCTCAAGGTTACGTCAGATGCATCACACGAGTTTCTATCTGAAGTTTATTCAAGGTTGAATGATACTCCTCACTACTGCACGTGGTAGGAAAATATTCGCATTTCAGCTTGCCTCGAGTAGACTTTGTGCATTAATGTGCTGTAACCTTGCATGTCACGTTTGAATGTTTGGGAATCTTTCTATTGAAATTTTCAACTATAAATGAATTATTTAGTTATATGCACCTCTGCATGTAGATTTTGGGCATTTTAACTTTCCACGGTCGCTCCTAGCATTTATCCACATTGTATCACCTACGAGTTCTGGAAGGACCAAACTAAAGTATGATACAGTTGTATTCATCATCGATCTATAATGAATGTTTTTCTATGTTTTGTCTATTGACGTTCATTAAGACGTTGCCAAAATTACGTTAACATTATTTGTTGTTAAAACAACTGATCAATTTCATATTCTGAAGAATATATAAGTTTCATAACATATTAGTTCTGATGGAGGAAACGCATTACATGTTCAAATACATGATCTGTCTTTTCTCTATAGGACTTCAAAATTTTAGGACAGAAATCTGTTTACTCAATCCTTATCTGAAACGTAACCAACAGAGACAAACCTTTGCAACCTGTCCATTTCTATATTTTACACATCTTCTTCGCAGTTGATTCAATATTCTAAGGCATATTATGGGTATCATGATATCCGGGAAAGATGACAGCTGACAGTATATTCTTACATGTGTACAAAACCGTCTAAGGGGAAGTTATGATCGAAAAATGATCTCACGTGTCTTTTCTGTAGTATTGGGTAAGATTCTCCCAAATCCCATTTTTGTTAGTATGCTGATATGATTCGTTGGTATTCATCGGGTTCTTCTATATTATCAGAATGTGATATTACCTGCATTGACTTGGCTTTTGCAGCCGATGAAGCCGAAGAACCTAACCCTGTAGAACATCTTATTCCCCCGGTTTCTTTTCCTTTCCTTTGCTTCGCCTTATCGATTTAGCTTTGAATTACAATGTTGTTAACATATTGCTATTCTCTTCCCATTTCTACCCTGTTTTTTTCACTCTGTCTTTTTCGCATATTTTGCAACTTACATTTTATTAGCTGTTGAAGAATGATAATTCCGCTAGATCCTAACAATTGACCTTATCGCATGAGCTTAATTTTTTATCACCTGTTCTCATTTCAGTGGTATACTGTAATTCTTAGTGTTATTACTAAGACAGGGCCGTGGAAGAATGTATAAAACTAGAATTCTATCAATATAATTGTTCCTCTATTAAACATCCCTGGTCTGAATCGTTTATAATACCAATAGCATTTAAAAGCCAGACACTAACGGAAAATTTTATAAAATCGCCTAAACCAAATTCAGAAAAATCAAAACTTGTCAAAAACATTCTCATTTAAAGATATTCTATTTCTTAGTGCGATATACAGCTAGACTGTTCGTCGTCAATGTAGCAGAAGATGCTTATTCTTCCGAGGAACACATGGTCTTATTTTCCATGTCCTTTGACAGGAGAATAAGCCCATTGGTCAATCCCAGTAAATAATGTTACATTCTTCAATGTGAACAAGGTATTCAACAACGGAACCAACAGACAAACTAACGAGCATCGAACAAGTCAAGCTTCATAAAATGTTTGATAAATATTCTTACCATCAATAATTTTTTTAAACATCTACAGCTATATTAGCGATACAGGATTGTCGATGTAATCACACTGTCCGGTTATATAGTTTTCTGGCAAGATACGTTAACCCACTGGATAATATTCGACAGACCTCCCTTATGACGATCTATTAGGTAGCCACTAGCTACTGGCTGAAGGCCGTGCCTCAAAACCATGACTGTCCATGTAGCGGTTAACTCAATAACTAATTATTGATAAGTATATCATTTTGCAGGAAATTGGTTTTTTTTGTAATTAAATACATACTCTGTCCACAGATTAGTAAAAGAAAAGTGAATGCAAGTGCTTTTTCAGATAACGCCCATCCATCTATTAGCATAACATGCATTTATTCTGACTACCAAATTCATTACATCCAGGAAAATATCCAACTTAGTATATTCGTATGTACATGTACATATGTATGAATATTCTACCACACACGCGCATTTTGATAAATTGTTTTCAATGCGAAGCAAATCTAATAATGAAAAATCGTTGAAAGCAATAAAATTTTGGAGCATCTAAGCACTTGTTCTCTCTACGCATTTAGCTCCGGGATGTTTATTTAGTATTTATCATATATTGACATGAAGTAATCTGAGATATGATATAACATTCTGTCTCAAAACATCGACATGCAAGCAATGCAAGCTTACCATTTCTCATGTATCCTTTAAGTTTTGACAAAGTATATTCTTTTCCAAAAACGTAAGCATTTTTGAAAATAACTCTTCGACAAAGGTCATTGGAATACTGGGTATGTAGACAGGCAACAGCATAGGATAAGATTTTAATTGCAGTTTTGTTCATCATTGACCTGTCTGGCTTTGTCACTTATGGTTATTATAACAGAGCAAACACACTGAACGCTAGGCACCAATGATAAAAAAGGCAGTTCGTATCCTTATTTAACATACACATGTTGCTTTTTAACTCAATTTTAGATTATCGCAAGTGTAATGAGAAAAGTGCAACATCAAGGTTTAACCATTAACCGTCGCCGTCTTCTATGCCAACAATAACGATGCCATAATTGGCACGCGTGTGTATCATTTATTCTTCTTTTAACTGCACTTTTTCTGGTTCGTTTATATAGCGATATCGCCATACATATATAAATACTGATGCAAATATTTGTGTATTGCAGTGAAATAAAATATATATTGTGTTAAACAAATTATGTTTACAGATCCTGATCAATCTCGTAATGATGTGAAATTAAAGTAGTTAATTGCGTTTCAGACTTACTTTGCATGGCCCATGACTCGCTGATTGCATTCAATAGAAAATCACGGGAGTCAGGTCCACACATTGGTGGGATTTCTTCTACTTTTGCCTTTTTCAAGGCGCCTCTCTTCCGGGCGGCATTTCTCAAATTATACTTTGGAGTAGACACTGGTGGGAGAATCATATTGATGACGTCCTGCCATAATGTTTTGAGGTTGACTTGACGGATTATGTCCATTACTAAAATTTAAAACGCAAATAAGTAAAATATTCATTTGTTCATACTTTTCTTTGGTTGACATGTAAGAATTTCCATGCAGATTCCAGTATAAGATTTATTGAAAGAAATTAATATGTTGTATAGTGTAAACTGCTTCTTAAAACGGACCTTAAATATATATAGAGGTCTAACATAATAGCGTTAAATTAGTTTGATAAGTCAGTGATGAATACGTACCACTAGCATCTGCCGGTATACTGGTGACGTTGGCGTCTGAAAAGGAGTCCGAAACTACACGGAGCACATCCGGAAGTAGTCCGAGTACTGGTTGTATCATACGCGTAATTAATTCTGAATCCATGTTTTGTAAAGAGTTCAGATTCAGGAGTGAAAATAACAGATCTTTTTGTTCTCCAATTATGCCAGCTAGCATTCTACTCCAAGCCAATCGACTCATGATTCCGCCAGCATATTCTTCTGCATTAGATGGATCAAGTCCAGATTTGTTTACTTGTTTCACCTCCTCCACAAATATACTGAGCAAATTATATGTCTCGTTCTTCAGAAAGCTAACAACCCTTTCAGAGGTCCAATCCAAGAGCATGAGGGCAGTCGCTGTATTCAGTCCCATAATATTATCCCATTTCAGTCCCTTCCACTTGACATACTCGTGTAAAATGTTGGTAACATCTAGTTCCTTCACGATAACCACTAGCGGGCTTGTTCCATTTGGCGGATTGTCAATCAAACTCACGTTTATCTTATTTAGATCTAGTATTGCTAATTTCAAAATAGTTGGAAGATCCTGGGCAATAATTGGTGCCAACACTTTTCCAATTACGGGATTCAGACCAACAATGTCAAACACCGGTTTCCCAAATCTTTCTAAAAACTTTGTAAGGAATTCTCCCCAATCGAATTTCTGCAGCAGATTCGTAATGGTTGGGGTATGAAATATGAAAAAAACTACATTTTTCTTTGTTACCAGGTTCATTTCTTCCACAAACAGTTTAAAAACGCCCACTGCATTTTCCCTGACATACGTTAGGACAAGACTACCTATTTTTGGAAGGAAAGTAGATTTTAGAATGTCGAGATAGTTGATTCTCTTCAATAGATCTGGATCCGTGATGTTCGCTTGGTAAAGCCCGGCAAGTGCTGTAATGTTTAGTTGATTGATCTGTCCTATTGTGAGATTAACAATTTCCTCAAGTCCATTATACAGTTCAGGAATTAACTTGTCCCCTAATTCTGGATTAAGACCTATAACTTGGAACCCAGTATGGACGAGTCCTTTTACTGACGTTAGTTTGTAGAGTTCATCCAACAGACTGGTGTAGTTGATCCTTTTCAATATTGCTTGTATTGCATTCGATCCGTTTAACTTGTTCAGGCCAGTCAGATTTACTGCATTTAGTTCACGCACCAATATCTGTATCAGGGCTGGACCATCTTGTCTTAGGAATGCTCCAATGTTTTGAACAACCCAAGGTAAAGTCTTCTGAGCAAGATCTGAATTGAGACCGATTGCTTTGGTAATGTTTTGTCCCTCCGCCATCAGAAAATCTTCGATAACATGGCTATACTCAGTTCGGGCCACTAAGCCGTACATCAATATAGTGTAGTTTTTTGTAGCAACTAAATCTGTAATGTTGACTTTATTGATATTCTTTACCAAGGAATCCAAACCTATCAAAAAATCGGGATTGTTTAACCATGCTGGTAAACTATCAAGTAACCACAGCAAAACCACACTGGGTATCGGTGGGTTTAACTTTGATACCTCATTCATAACTGGGCCAATAGCAAACGGAAGTGGCTCAAGTTTATGAAGTATGACTTTATTTCGTAAAAGTATGTCGGCAAAAAGAGCAACGACCTCTTCGTCAGTATTGTTTTTAATCACATCTATAGAAAGCCCACCCAGCTGACCGGTAACCGGATTTCCGGTCATCAGGAGCAAAGCTCCAATCACTAGAGATACTGCGACGACCTTCATCGTACCACCAGCATAAATCTACAAAGAAACATGCAAATTGTCATTGAAACATAGCAGGAGTTGAGGATGCAGATAATTTAAGCTTCGATATAGCATCTAAGGTTTTCTACACCCCCCAATCCTAGAGATATTTGAATACCGTTTCCTTTCTGACTAATCAATATATACTACGCTTGTAGACCGTCGATATCAGTCTATGATAAAAGTGACAAGACCGCATTTCACAAATTGTCCTTCCATGTTTGTGTTTCTCTTATCGTCAAAGAAAATTTGGAATTCAACTTGGCGGAATCGTGATACAAGTCAAACAAAACTGAAATCTAGTTTCAAATAGAAGTGTTTGTTTTGTTACATGTCCAGAACAAATATATCTCTATATTCATAAACATTATTTTTCAGAAAACCTAAAACATTGTTTCTCCACAGAGACAAATTTGAACAAAATTTATATTGTTATAACATCCATGCGGCATTTTCGTTAAGTCTTCTAAAAAGTGTTATATATTTTCATATTTCAAAAATATACATTACATCTATCAGAACTACAAAATAGTGTAACAATTCTAAAAACTAACTTTGGAATACTATCTTAAAATTACGCATGCTCCTAGCATATTACTTCACCTCCTCTAAATTAAATATGATTAACTTTTTTCAAATTATTTAGATTCCGTTGAATAACCGAATACCCTTGTTAAAAGACTTGTTTGTGAATCCTAGTTCAACCATTTTTATTACTGGTTATTTGAATTTACTTGACGGACGTGCTTCGTTTTTTTTTTATTTATTAGAATATGATAACAAAAAAGCGACCTAATTTCATTTTTTATACAATAAAATTTTATTAGTTGAAAATTTAAAACATGTGACCTTATACTTAACCTATATATGTTGTCATGATTTTTCTAATACATTATTTTTTGGTATATCATTATGCAATGAAACAGGTTGTTAACTGAGGTTTCAAAAAAGGATTATACAGTATAGATGTCATTCTACTGACTAACGTTTGATTAGAAAAATAACAGAGGAAACATGAAAATGTAACAATTTGATTTTTTAAAAAATGTAGAAAATGTCCTATAATTTCGATATTACACGAAACATAAAAACGATGAGAACTACCTTGGTTGCGTCACTGTGGTCGGCGCCACGTGGAAAACTCCCGGTAAATGTGGAAGTCCGATAGCTCAGTGTATAAACATGTATGCACTATTGCACAGGTGCGAATTCACAGGTATGAGAATCCGGGTGTTGACCGGTCGATTAGTGTCCAAAGATGGATGTCCAGAGTTTAAGTTTCGACCAATGTAGTGGTTAAACTATATGGCGTGACAAGCCCTGCCTACATTCATATCTCACGACGTCACACCACAAACAAACAGATAGCGCCCCGCAACCAATCGACATCATTCAATGTTAGATGTAGCGTTTCACAGCTAAAGCATTAATGTTGAAGATAGAAAATTATGTTGGATTCGTAATACGAATGCATTATATTAGATTAAAATTATTTGTTCCAACATTAACATAATACAAAAAGAATGAAAAATAAGTTTTTTTTCATAAGCTAACAAATCTTCGGGAGTCCGAATTAGGTCACGTGGCTTTTATCAATCGATAACAGCACAAATACATTCGGTATAAATAAAGGCATGCTTATCACGTATCAATGATATTTGTTTGATAAGCGATCAAAAGCCGACATCTTAAACGAATTTTCGCTCATTTACGTATTAATCACAACAACTTATCTTGGTTGTGCCTGAACTAATGGATTAAAGATGGAACTTGGCAGCTATTACGTATATGCCTTAGTAAAAAACTCCGAATTTGTCAAGACAAGGACTTATGTTGATCGTGTTTGTGAACATTAACTAAACATAGGTATAAAATTATAATATATGTAATACTGACAATAAAAACATACAGACATGTTTACAAAATCTCAAATTAACATACGTTTTGTACCCACCATTTAGCTCATTGTATTACTCAATGCAAGAAATTACTCATAATCTTGTTTAACAACTCATACAAATGAGTTATTCAAATAATATTCATTTCAATACACAGCAAAAAAAAGTGTACATTTTGTTGAAATTATAAATGATGGTATGATTGAAGTTATGTACTGCGGGTGTCGTTGCAGGGATTTAGTCAGGTAATTAAGATATGAGAAATAAGATCATTTATTAGATTAATTTGAGAAGAAATGATCTTATTCGATCTGCAATGATGTTGAAATATCAAAATATAACGAATAATTTATATAGAACATACAGCATTAAAAGACGACCAAAGACAACCAACACAAAACGATAGCGGTTTTATCAAACTGAGCAGAAGACATCGAATATTTGAAATTTGAGCAATATCGATAGTGGAAGGAAAACTTTAACTATATTCCCCGATAAACAAATATAAATCAAAACAAGTGAACCACACATGGGCCACACGAAACAAAAAGAAAAGCAACATTTTTTGGACCTGTGGTAACAAAGAGGTGATCACAGCATCATCAACAGAGGTCAATGAGAATACAAAACATATACATTTCCAAAGCAACAATTGATCGAAACACTGATTGAACACCTAACCGCATACCCCACTGCATGTTATAGGAGTCATCAACATGTCCATCCCAAGTCTTTCTCTATAACCGACGCTGTTCGTGTTTTGTAAATTAGATTCTAAAACATAGCAACCGTCCCTGATTAAACATGATGACTCGACCACGCTTCCATGAGAGATAAACATTTTCAATGTAAAAAGGAGGTGTAGGCTTTACAAAAAATCCACCTGGAACTGAAATCACGTTTTAAGTATTATAATTGAAAACGTTTACAAACAATGAATCAGAACAGGATGGAAAATTTGTATGATAATCAGAGAAACTTTATAATGCAGAATTTTCATGACTTTATTATTGAAACGAAAACTACAATTCTGAAAAGTTGACAAGGCTAAGACGGAACTGCATGTCGCTGTTTCTGTGGTTATCTGTTCATTGTTTGTCTTAGGTCGTAGTATCGTTGCAGTCTGTGTTTACTAGTTACTCCCAAACTCTCTTTGGAAGACTTTAACGGGTAAGCCTGTATGCTTCATACGAAACTACCATATACTCCTTTCGTGACGTTTTTGGATTTATAGTTGTAAAACACACAAATGGTATTGTACAACAATATCCCAACGAAATATGATTACTATGTGTGTTGTAACATAGACTAAAGTTTGTCCAAAACAACAGAAAATGATCGAGGGAGTGATTCACTGGGGATTCTTATCATAAGTTATAATCAAAAAAATTAAAATCAAATTTATGTTTTTAATTACGAAACACACTCACTAATCGGGCAAGCAACTCGTTCTTAATAGAATGCAACAGTTAAATGTACAAACACAATCTTTATCCAATGAACTGTACATAGCCTGATCTATGTGGGAGGTCAGTATACAGACCGGCCCCCTCGACAAGGTTTGTATAAGGCAAAGGTTAAGAACTAACTTAAGAACGTCAAATTGCCGTCATCACAAGTCACATGTCAGACTTCGTGATTCAAGGTTTTTTTAAAACGTATTTCTCGCGTTGCATATTTTCAATTATCTTTGTATGATTAAATGTATTCTGATTTTACGTGACCGAAACTGTTTCCCACAATATCATACTTATCTATATGATAATATTAGACAATAGTGTCACCTGAAAAGGTAAACACAATCGATATTATTCAATATGATCTTCCTTGATCATCTATAATTAGGATGAGTCAGGTGATAACCTCACGACTTCCCTCTTCGATACGCACATTTAATTTCGTTTGGGTGATACGGAGACTGAAGAGATAATTTTCTGCATGATGTTTTCATTCCTAGTCAATTAAATGAATGATAAAGGAAATAATTCGGATTTATTTCATAATAATTAGATTTACAGCAAGAGATAAAAAGCATAAGATTACTTTAGCTGAAAAAGAGAGAGAAAACAAACAAACAAAGTGCATGTAGATAATAAATAAAGATAAGTAAAGTTTTTACATCATATAGGAAAACAATTTATCAATAATTAAAACCGAAAAATATACACCAACATGACATTAATTATAATTGGTGTTGTAATCAAGTCGTGACACAAGAAAAACACTTCCTGAAATTATGAATTCTACATGTATTATCTCGAGGCGACTTTCGGTTAAGTTGTCTTGATATTTTAGCAATTTATACTTAATGTCATCTTTGAGAGTAAACGTTATGTAGTTATATCAATATCGGAATGTTTGAAGCATTCTCTCATTTAAATTCCAGATAAGTACTTAGATAATCATTATTAGAAATTGTTGTTTATAAACGACTGCTAATTATCTAACTGCGGATATATTTAACTCACGGTCCTTGGAATTGGCAATAACTGCAGATTGATTCTATCTCGGTCTACGGTAAATGTTCGTAGGTATGTTACCTCCAATATCTTTTATGTAAATCTTATCTTTCTGATATTTTATACTATGTTTTAATATCATATGCACCATTTACCACGAGTCTAAGTAGACAAATGAAATGGACATTCGTGTTATAGGAATAATGAATCAAGGATTTTGTCGACCAAAACGAAATTTAAAAGAAAATTAAATAATTTTATAAATACTTATATAATGATACTACATCTATGCAACTTTTATGTAAATGGCCGTGACGACTATACTACTACTGATCCAAGTATATAATGAATGAATTAGATTATGTGACCACACGTGGTCATTGTTAATGGATAACTTACCGTAATATATGTTATTTAAATTCCAATCCAAACTGCCTCAGGGCTACCTCACTTAAACCAATCCTTAATAAACCTTTCATTAATTTCAAATACTATACAATTGTTGAGGTTGAATTAATTTTGATTAAAACCAATATTATTACAATATACTATTAATCAATTTAAATGGAAATTGCATATATATGTTTCAAAATACTTGTTAGTCGTTGTTGAATAAGTGGTG